TCTCTTGGAAGAGTGTTGGTTTTTTGACAACTTGCTCAACCGGAAGCAGAAGATGTTGAGGTGTTATTCTGATCCTCAATGCAATTCATCAAACTTTGGTCAAGAAATGTCAGTGAAGAGTTCACATGACCAAAAGTCCTTGTTGACAACAAGTGAGGCCACACAAGGCAATGGCTGTGCTGGTTCTAATTTGGTTAGAACACCATCTTTGCCTCTTCATATAGGGAGGAGGCAAGAGGAAGAAGTTCAAGTAAAGCAAAGTGGTAGTAATAAGAGTTTGAGCAAATTGACAAGGCAAACATCACATCAGAAAATGCTGCAGACACCAACCAAATCACCAGCTTGTATAGGCAGGACAGAAGGAGTTCAAGATAAGGAAAGTGATAACAGAAGAAGCAAAATGAATGGGCAGCCAGTGCGCCAGAATTTGCTCAGGACACCCTCCTTGCCACCATGTATAGGAAGGGAAGAGAGCAACCAAAAAAGTGTTCCTCAGAGACATAAGGTACTAGCAATAGAATCCCTATCTTTGTTCATCAATTTATTTGATTACAATTAGATGACTACTTCATTTCCCGTTTCGCTGAATTTTTGTATGGTTGATCGTGAAAGTACATTGGTGTATTTGAAAATTTGTGTTAAGAATCATAGGTTATATAAGAATTAGAACTATATGCTTATAATGTTGTTACATTTGAAAATTGCAGGGGCTCATGACACAAAGTTCTAGCATTCCAAGATATAGACCACCAAAAAACACAGAAGGGGAAAGCAATGCTAGTACAGATGGGTGCAAGGAAAAGAGACGCAGAAGCCTTAACGGGTTAACCACGAGAAAGAGCCTAAGTGATCTTGAGATTGAAGAGCTGCAAGGGTTCAAGGACCTGGGATTCACATTTGACAAGAAAGAACTGAGCCCCAGTGTGGTTAACATACTTCCTGGTTTGCAAGAAAAGAAGAGCACAGAGGATTTGAACCCAGAAAAGGTTAGGAGGCCTTATCTTTCTGAATCATGGCTGGTGCAAAGCTGTGCTCCTCCACCTCCAAACTTGGGTGCAAGTAGGTCTGCTGAGGACATGAAGGCACAGATCAAGTTCTGGGCTAGAGCTGTGGCTTCCAATGTGCGCTAGGATTAATGTGTGTGCCTAAAGAAAATAACATACAACATCATGGGAATTTTTGTGATTTGTAACTTGAATAACATACCAATTGTGTAGTCTGATTATATTGAAACTGTAACATCCAATCCATTCAAAAACCAAATTAATCCAATCATATTTTTTGTTAGAAGATTTTAATTATTTGGTTAAGCTTTTAAGTTCTTGCTACTTTCAGAGACTCTGGCATTCATCCCAAATCAAATGGAACCCATACTTATTTATTTTATACCATAACATTTGAAATGGACAGCCTGATTTGATGAGACAAGGAAAAGCAAATGCTTTTGCCTTTTAGGATGTGAACCCGTGAGTGTTTATGGAATTGTTAAAAAACAATGCTTACATGGAAAGAACAGCACTGTCTTCATTAACATCTGTTCAATTCTGAACTCATGATGATCCTTTTGAGCCATCTTCTTCATGCAAGTTCAAGTGGGAACCAGAACTTGGAAGCTAATGACATTTTGGAAAGAGTGTTGGTTCTTTTACAGCTTGCTTGACAGAAAACAAAGGATGTTAAGGTGTTATTCTGATCCTCTGGTCAGGAAATGTTCTTCACAATGTGATGCTCATTCTTTTGTAAGGACTTTTTCCCAATGGAGACCTAAAATGGAAGAATTGATCGTCACATTACAAGGAAGTATGCTCGAACAATGATGTTCATAGACTTTATTTTTCAACCATTTGAGCTACAAGCTACTTGCAAAAAAAACATTTATTTATTAAAATGAATTTTTAAGTCAGCATGTAAAAATCATTTTAACAAAAAATGATAAAATCAATTAAATCATGAACTATTTAGCCTTTTTATTATTGTCATGATCATCTTTGTGTTTATCAAAAACATTAAATAATTCTATTTAATTTTTTACAATTAACCAAATGGTTTTCCATTCAGGTGCTATTTGAATGGCCAACAAATTTGATATGGTTGAAAATTGTAGTCCTTTCAACATTGTTAAAGAAAATTGTAAGGGAAAAAACAACAAATAAGAAACAAACATCTGAAGTAGATAACAGATATTTTCAAATATCAAATCCCACCATAATCTCAAAAATGTGCAAAGATGAGAGAGAAAAAAAAACCAAGAAACAGAGCAATAACTAACAACCAACCCAACCCTCAGCAACTCAGCTTTCCCTCTCTAAAAACCCTCAAATGTTGCAGACCCAACACCTTCTCTGTTCCCATTTCCCCATCTGTCTCTCTCCTCCCCAAACCCACTTTCTCTTTCCCCCAAATCTCTCATCTTCTCGTCTCAATTTTCTCTACAAACCCATAAGTCTCTGCTCTGTCTCAGCCCATTCTAGGCCCAGACCCGAACAATGGCTAGCAGAAGCTCCAGAACCCACAACCAGTATTCCTACAGCTCCATACACTCCCTTGGAATTCGCCCCGGAGGGTCCCGAAGAATTGCCACCATCTTCCTCTCCAGTATTTGCTACCACAGATGACCCTTCTTCTATCCAAGTAGCTACCAGTGTTCTTCTCACTGGAGCCATTTCTGTCTTCCTGTTTCGCTCTCTTCGACGTCGTGCAAGGCGTGCTAAAGAGCTGGTAAAGATTATAGCTTTCTTTTCATTTATGTGTACAAATTACTGTTTTTTGTGTGTTATTATGCTAAAGTTTGGAATTTTAGGAACTGGGTTTTGGTAGGAATTCCCTTTTATTACCAATTGTTAGTTTTTTGTGTGTTCGTGATTACACATTGGGTTACTGGGTGTTGCTGTTTTAATTTGAGTGCCACTTCTTTATGCATTGTTAAGCTTGAATTCAATTTGTTGTGAGCTGAGCTGTGCTCTGACATGAATAGGATAATTCCACATTTCAACTGATTTATTTTATATCCCATTTTGGGGTTTGGGGAATTTTTTTTTGGATTCTGTTAATTGTGATACTACAATTTAATTTGCCATTGTGGTCAAATTTGGACTTTGAGGATTTGGGTCTTGACATTTTTCCATTCACTTTATTTCCAAGTTTTTTATTTTGTGGAATTATGAGCCAATTTGTGGGATTTGATGGAGTGATTTTGGTGCCTAGAAATTTAGGTCTTCTGGAGTGAAGAAGTCGTTGAAGGAGGAGGCTTTGGATAGCCTGAAGGCATTGTCTACTGGTTCTGTTGAAGAAAAGGGTCCACCTTCACCTGTTCAGGCATTGTTGGGTGGAATATCAGCCGGTGTCATCGCACTTATTCTTTATAAGTTCACTACTACAATTGAAGCATCTCTCAACCGCCAAACAATTTCTGATAACTTTTCGGTCCGTTCCTTGATTTGCCTCATGTCCTTACTTTTAATTGAGTTGTTTCTTATACATTGGTTGTAGCTGTACTTGTTGAAGTAGCACATTTATTCTTTGTGAGCCTGCTGCTACTGTGGTAGTTTCTCCCGGTTTGCCTAAAAACTTTGAGATAAATTCTCTTGCACTTTAACTGCCTCTTGATTTATGTTGAATCATTTCTTTTGTATTGAGTTTAGCCACTATGCTCGAAGTTCACTGTTGAATAGAACAGTACGATTAAGAATGTTAAGTTCTTAGATAATTTGAGCTGACTGGTGATGCATTGCACAATTTGAACCACAAAATGCTTGTACTTTTCATATCTATTGAATTTGGTGATAGCAAAAGTGTACTATGGACAGCTTTTCATTTCTATTCTTGTTGGTGTGTGAACTGGGTTCATTTTCATTGACTACTCAACCTAGACTCTAATCACTGTACTTGTTTTTCTATTCTTCAGGTTCGTCAGATTACAATAACCATAAGGTAGCTCCTACTACTACTTCCTTTCGATGTTCCTTGCTTTTAAATCGATCTGGAGAATGATAACCTTTAATCTCCTGTTGTCAGGACGATTATAAATGGGTTGTGCTACCTTGCAACATTTGTTTTTGGCATCAACGCTGTTGGTTTAGTCCTTTATGCTGGTCAGCTCGCCATCAACTCTATCATGGAAGATACAAGTACGGAAACTGAGAATCAAGGTAAAGAGCAATCAGGCTCACTGAATTCAACGGTTGAGAGCCCCCCAAATAGTGGTGCGAACAGCGGCAAGGATGACCAAAGTTCAGATGAGACACAATAGAGGAGTAGAACCGTTATTGACGCAGAGGAATAGGTTTTTTTTCCATTTCAACCTCGTTCTAGGAAAATTATATTTTCAATGAAATAGATGCCATTTCAGGCTTTTGTCTTTTCGTCAATCTATGTGCACTAAACCCCTCTATGCAATTACTAAATATGATTGTCAAAGATGCAATGGTCCACAGAAGCTGCCTTTAATGTTTGTGTATCTTGCATATTCATCTGGCAGAAAAGTTATAACCTAACAAGAGATGATCTAGGAGTTTCAGTCTTAGATAAAACTTTGATACTTTGCCTTCATACCTTTATCATTCATTTTGACAGAAATTTGTGGAACGAATTGACAATCATTTTAGCTGCCTGCATTTCAATAGAACATGTTGACTTATCCCAAAAAAGTAAGAAAATAACAAATCAGCAGAACATGTTCAATTTGTTTATCTGTCATCAGGTCTAGATTGAGAGTTTGATCAAACAAACTGTGACACTCCAAGGACCAAGTATATCTCCAGTTGCCTTGGACCTTGTCAAAAGCTAAAAATTGGGAAAGCTTTCTGCTTCAGAAGTAGTCCAAGTTTTTGTGCTTTGCTAACGATGCAGAACTTAACGTAATGCCAGTTGAAATTTAACCAAACTGTGAGTGTCAAGATGAATGCGCTGCATTTATTCATCTTCCAAGGGTTTATATAGAGATTAGCTGAAGAAATAAATAAGCAAACTTCAAATTCAAAGGGTTTAAGTAAGAAACTAAAAATTCAAAATGATTTAAATTATTAAAACCATTAAAACCATTAAATCAGATCATGTCAAAGTTTGCTACTAAAAAAAATGTTACGATGGGAATTAGCATACACAACATGTGATTTTCCAGACCTCTCTCTCTCTCTCTCTCTCTCAAGTGTTATACTCCAAAGATATTCTCCTATACTTATTGCCTCTTAGTTTGTACTTTACATGATGCTGGTTGTTGGTTTCAACCTTGAGCTCTGCTTCCATCCATGTGTGATCTTTCATGTTGTTGCTCAATAACCCTTTCTATTCTGCTGTTTTCTTCACCAATTTTCCTGAGCACATTATGACTCTTGGCTGGTTGGAACTGATGCAATGGAGTGGAATTTGAATCAAGCCTGTGCAAAATCAACACCATAATCACTGAACAAACAAACATCGGAATTGGACCAAAAATCCAGAGGAGCAAAGTAGTGGCAAAGTAGATAGCTCTTAACCCCAGAGTCCAGAACAAGCCACCACTTATCACAGCCTTCTCCACATGAGCCAAAGGAATGTCATTGTCTGGCATGCTGATGAGGAAATTGGCATGGACAAAGTTTCTTATGCACTGTAAAAAGGAAGCCAAAGCAAGCAGGAAGCAGGCCAGAATGCTAATATATTTGATAGAAATTATGGCAGGACTTGTGTCACCATATGTAATGCTACTCATGAAGATGTTGTGTGAAGAGCTCCCAATCCATGCTCCAATCAGAGAGCTCAAGGCTAAAGAGGTTGAAGCTAAGAAATTCGCCGCTGTTATGGTGCCGGAGATTACTGTTAGGGACAGGCCTCTGTCCTTTGCTTCAACCTGCAATTAATTAGAGACCAAATAAATTTGAACTTGATTAGCATGCTATTAATTTATATTAATTAGAGTCTTGCTGACCTGCAACATTCTCTCAACCCAAGCTTTTCTGCAGTGGTTCTCATTGCCAATAACTGTGGTTTCTGGATGTCTTAGGCATCTGTAGAGAAGAAAGAGATGGTAGCAGAACATGATTAGCAAACCAGTTGGGACCAACACTAAATCTAAGTATTCTTTCTTCCAAACCATTCTCTCTAATATCTCTCTCTCTCTCTCTCTCTCTCTCTCTCTCTCTCTCTCTCTCTCTCTACTAAGATGAACAAACTAATTGTTGGGTTTGGTTGGTTTTTTGTCAAGATTCGTAAGTTAATAATATTCTGGCTGTATAGTGGGTTTGGTTGGTTAAGTAGAGGCAATTTGGTTTTACTTTTGAATGAAGATGACCGACCTCTCAATTAATCAATAAAAAAAAAATGATGATGATCAAGATCATGACCAATAAGATGTGCACAACTTTTCAAATACGAGTCAGCAAAAACAACTTATAAATACCGTGCAGTGCAGTGCAGCTTTTCTTTTACAGTACTTCACATGGAAATAGTAGTCGTTGTGAACATGTTTCAATGGTTAGGAGAGCTCGTAAGGTTACAAAGTTTGGTTCACACTTCACAGCTTCACGTACTCTTTTCAAAGTTCCAAAACTCTTCACAACAATGGGTCCTTTAGACCAATCAATCAAATTTTGTCACCGCAGATTATAAAAAATAACGAAACTATGGGTTTTCAAGAGGCTGATTTGTCTCAGGCAAGAAGTAATAATAATGATTTAGATTCTACAATGTTGGGCAAAGTTATTGTGTTCCAACTCCATAGTTATTTTCCCTTTGATCTCTTCAAGTGATATTAAGTTTCTTTTTGTTCCAACGACTGTCATTCATGAGATTTGAACTCAGGAACTTCTCCAACGAAACGAAGTGAAAATTAGGTGACTAAGAATATCAACATAGTGAAAATGACTAGATTGTGGATCCTTAATTCAAATCTTTTGGTTTGTGAAAAAGTTGAAAGTTGTATAGTTTCTCAAATGTGATTTCTTTTAAACTCAAGCTAGCAAATCAATGCATCTCAAGTAGGAGAATGGCATAATTTTCTATGTTTTGGAGCTCATATTTCTAAGTTTGCCTGTCAAGTCAACTGAAATTGGGCTCTTTGCACTTCATATGTAGTTGGTGGTGTTTGAATGGGCTACAATAATAGGTTGCTTTTGTGCATCTTCAGTACCATGGCATAGGATTTTGTGAACTACAAGTGAATAGTGTAGTCAGGTAGCCTTTGCAATTGATGAGCAAATCACAGACATATAATGAGGCCAATGAAAACCTGCTTGTTCTTTTCAGTCTCCCATTGTAGATGATCCTCCAAAGGCAAATGTAGATGGTAGAGCCCCCCACTTTTCTTCTTTTTGGCATTCATTTTTTTATATGTTTGTCCTTGTCCTTACCTTAAAAAGGACCTCCATAGTGAAAGAAAATCTCTGTCCAGGAAAAGATGGAATCTCTGTAAAAGCTTCAAATCACTAACTTGTGCTGCTGCTTTGGAAATAGTTGAACACCCTATCAAAGACTTGACAAAATAATTAATAATAATAAAAAACAACATTAAAGAATTCACTTTCACTAAACCATGCCTTTAGAACCTTTTTCTCTTTTCATTTCTCTAGCACTTACAGATATATAGAAACAAAAAACATAAACTCAAGGATTGTGACAGAGCAGCATTATGGGGAATGTGACAACTTAGGCAGCTTGTTGCTGCTACTATCTTGAATTGCTGTCAATTATTTTATGCTGCCACATATAATCAATCTAGATAGGTAAGAAATCTGTAAAGGAATCTACTTTAATTTTTTGTTTTGGTTGCTAAATTTCTCTCTGTTATTTTTTCTTTTTCCCCTAAATTCAGCAGTTGTTTTCTTTTCTTTGAACATCTGATTGTGCATCACAACTAATAAAGTGATTATATCAAATAAAATTCTTTTAAATTAAAAAAAGCAGATTATTTATCTAAAAAGGGTAGTAGGGTTACCTAGCAAGCAAACAGCCCTTTCAGCTGACAATGGTGAAAACTGGTCAAACAGGTTTGTAGACTAGAAGTAGCAGAATTAAAGGCACCCAGGAAGTGAGAATTGAGATTGCTGATTGGCATCTGGATAAGGGAATGGCTTGAGAATAAGCTAAGGGCCTTTCGGGATGGGTTGAGGTTGAGCTACTCCTTGATACTTAATCTCATATTATAAACACTTTTCTTTTTTTTTTTGGTTACATTGATATTAGATGAGATTAAAAGAAGTCTTATGGATATTAGATGATTCTTAATCTCATCTATAAGCTACTGATATTAAATTATTTCAGGCTAAGGTTGAAACCAATTGTCTTTTCAAATACTCTAACATGCATAGAGTTTCCAAAAGGCTTACGATACTCCGTTACAAGTAAGTTCTTTTCCTCATAAATACTTTATTGTCATATCTCTTCCTCTCCTTGAGAAAAACTTGTATATCACGAGATCCGCAACTAATCATGTTCTGCCACGCATGATAATTGTTCCACATGGCAGAATGTGATTGATATAAATGTTTCACATGATGGAATGTGATTAGTTGGGAATAACAAAACAGTGATATCTTTGTGATAGCAAAACTTCTCTCTCTCCCTTCCCTAAATAATAATCCTAACAAATAAATAAACTAATAAAAACAATATTTATCTGAGCACAATGCAAGCTGGAGCTCCACTCCCCAACCAAAGTTTCTGAATTTGGCTCAGGCTCTCAAGAGTGCCTTTGTTTCTGCTACCCAATACGAAACCACACTCTGCCCTGCACTCTGCTCTAAAACCTAAATACCCCCATAGCCCATGTGTTTCACCACCTTCTTACATCTGCACACCAGAAAAAACAACCTGTGTCTCCAACCCATTTTGCACCTGCTCAAGTACTTCTTCAGTACCTTGTTCTTCTACAAAGTCTTGTGCTCTTTCTGTAAGACCCTTGTCCTCTTTCTCCTCTTCATCTTCACCCTCTTCATCTTGAGGAGCAGCAGGCATCTCCCAAAATCGATTAGCAAGAGCAGCCATTTTCACTGGATCAGATCTACACCTCATAAGCAAAAGAGCATTCTTTGGAGGAACGCAAATGCTCACTCTCCCCGCTTCTTCTTCCTCCATTACACTCTCATTCAATCTCTCTTCCTTGAACTCAATACCTTCAAACACTTGCCTCCTCTGGCTATGGCCACTGCTACTATTAGTACTTCTCTCTGTTCTTTCTTGATCTTCACCCACCACCAACTCAATCTCTCTCCCTTTCCCATCCCCATCTTGCAAAGCAACAAACCACCTCGCAAAGACTGCGCCACAAGATGACCCTCCACTCTCTGATCTCACTCCCTTATTTTCTTCTTTCTCCTTGTTATTATTGTCATCACTAGCCAAACAAGAAGACCGGTTCGGAATCAAGCAGTTAAACTCGGACCCAAAAGCCCTCAAAGCTTCACAAATCGTCAAAGGAAGATGAACCCACCTCTGGTTTCTGTGCCTTAAGCATTCCTGTTGATTATTATTATTCATCTGGTGATTTTGAAAGTGCAAACCTTGGAAGTTGTTGCTGCTGTTGTCTCGATTGTAAAGCTCTTGACTTTGACTAGCTGTGTTGTTGGTGCTCTGCTGATTTTGCTCTGGTTTTCTGAAACTAGCCTCACTTCCCCTGCTGCGCTTGGATCTACTAATTATCCTCATTTTCTTGCCCTGTTTCTTGGTCTTGACCCTGACCTGACCAATACATGTGACCTTAGGGGAAGACGGTTCTGGGTTTTCAAAAGCGCACCCACGTTTTTTACTAGTGCCACCATTGCTGGGGAACATTGGGGAGGCTTGGCCACCCTTGATGCTTCCACTGGTTCTAAGCCTGCGGCTGAGAGAAGAGGAGAGGGAGATTTGGGAAGGCTCTCTGGCTCGGCCTGGGCTGAGAATGGACTTGGAGGAGAGCTTCATGGATGAAGAAGAGAGGCGAGAAGTAGTGAAGCAAATGAAGAGCTCGCTTGTAGTTGTGGATGTAGTGCCACTAATGCTGCTGTTGCTTTTGGTGCGATGGGGTCTGTCTGACTCCATTGTTTTTCATTATAATTTTTACTGAGCTGTGGTTGTGGTGGTGGCCATTAGCATAAGCAGAGCAAGAATGGGGGGCTATGATTGATGAATATTTGTTTGGTTTGTATGGTGGGTTGTGCTGCAGAGAGAGAGAGAGAGAGAGAGAGAGAGATAGAGAGATAGAGATTTATTGGTACTGGAAGGTGACAGAATGGAGTTTGTCTTTATCAAAATGGAACTGAGTGAGTGTAAGGATCTGGTTACTTGGGCCTTGAAACTAAGTTGCTGTGATACATGCGTTACAATTACATGACCATAATACCCTTTGTCTTTGTAGATTATTACTTCAAAGGTTGGAGGAGTTTGTTGTGACTTTGTGAGCATGCATGGTTTGCCTGCTTTCTACCTTTAGCCTTTTAGGTGTGGAATCTTGGTACTCAAATCTTAAAGTCAAGGAAAAGAAGGTACACGTACACCAAAGACCAACCAAAGACCAGCCAAAGAAATGAAAAGGTAGAAATAAAAAGAAATGGGAGAAGATAAAGGCCATCGACAGCAATGAAGGGCTAAACGTATCCCACTCAAAAAATTTAGTTCAATGAGAGCATTCATAATGAGCTTCTTAAATTATCTTTTTAAACATATTTTAGGGAGGAATTGTAAAAATACAACTTCAATCATGCTCTTTATCTACCCCTAAAATAGGGAGACCTCTATGAGCTCCTAAGAGCATCCACAATGGGCTCTATAAACCATCTCCTTAGATAAATTTTAGGGAGGAATTATAAAAATGCAACTCCAACCATGCTCCCCATCCACCTCCTAAAATAGGGAGTTCTCTAGGAGCTCCTCAATCTGAGGAGAGAGAAAGGACTCATAGTGACTCTCTATACTTTAATGCTGCTTTATTTAATGAGTATTTCAAACCTTTATTTAATGCTAACTATTTTTTATTTTATTTTTTAATAGAGAAGGACCAATCAAAAAAGAGTTATAGCATTTATGACTCTCCAATTTATGGAGTATGGTTGGAGTTGAAATTTTTTAAAGAGCTCCTACAATAGCTTTCTTATATTTTTAGGTAAATTTTAGCTAAGAAATAGAGAGCATCATTGTGGATGCTCTAAATCTAAGAAGAGATAAAGAACTCATAGTGGCTCCCTATAATTTAATGTTGTTTTATTTAATGAGTATTTTCAAACCTTTAATTAATGTTAACTATTTTTTATATTATTTTTTTAATAGAGATAAACCAATTAAAAAAGAGTTATAACATTTATGACTCCCTAAAATAACTTTTGTGTGTTTTTAGCTACATGCTCTCTATTTTTTAGTTAAAATATAGCTAAAAACACACAAAAGCTATTTTAGGAGCTCTCTATAAAATTTGAACTACAATCATACTCCCTAATTTAGCGAGTCATAAATACTATAATTATTTTTTGATTCAATAAAATTGGTCCATCTCTATTAAAAAATAATAATTTAAAAATAGTTAGTATTAATTAAAAGATTAAAATATGCATAAAACAAAATAATATTAAATTATAGAGAGCCACTAGGACTCTTTTCTCTCTATTCAGATTTAGGAGCTCCTAAAGGTCTCCCTATTTTAAAAGGTGGATAGAGAGCATGGTTAGAGTTATAGTTTTCCAATTCCTCCCTAAAATTTGTCTAATGAGGTGGTTTAGGGAGCCCATTGTGGATGCTCAAAGGCTATATTTTTACCATCTCCAGCAGTGCAGGGTTAAATCATAGCCCTCTTAATATTTTAGTTGTTTTTAATATATTCTTTAAATATATTGAATAATTTAATTAAAGTACTATTTTTAGACCCTATTTAAAATTTATTTTAGAAGATACAAATATTTTCAGATAGCATTTTAGAAGAGAAAAATATTTTCGGATTGGATATGATTAATTTAAAAACAACAACAGCCCACCCAATAAATAATAAAATAAGATATAGTCCACCCAAGAATCAAACCACATTTGCCCTGCTGACTGGGTTTGGCTCAGTGACATGACACATATAACCCATTTACTGAAGATAAGTTATGGGGTGTGAAATGACTAAATATAAGGGTATAGCTCACTTTTGGAAATGGCTTAAGCATCTTACTGAAAAGCCACATTACTCATTTACTTTTTACAAAGCCTAAGAGATCTATGGTATTAGTTTGATGAGAAGGCACACCCATTCATAGTTCTTGTATTCACTTTGATATCATGAAAAAAGTTGATGTTCCATTTCAAAATAAATTGACAATAGAAGAGTACTCCAAATACATTTTGAGATTTATTTCTAAACGCTTTCAAAAACGTTTTGAGTCGTTAGAAAGCGATTTTAACCTTTCTAAAAACAGTATAAACAAGTACTTAATAATTAATGTGCATGATTGCAACTAGTTATCGCATATAATGGGGACTTTGGACATGTTACTTTCATGAGATGGTGTAGTGTGTGTGTGATGTGAAGAATGGGTCCTCAAGCAACGTGGGCAGATAATGATAAGCAAAAGCAATAACAATAATAAAAAAGACAAGAGTGACGAATGAGTGTGTCTTGGGAAATATCAAATCCGCCATTTTCATTTTTCACCATCCGTGGTGTCTTGAAGAAGAAGCACTTTTCTCAACTTTTTTTCACGCCATCGCTATTTTCACTAGCCGTTTTCTTCTGCCTCGGCAGCTAAATGACAAGGATGCAGTGGCAATTTTGTTATTCAACGCCAAAAAGGTGGGCCTTTTCGGGCACCAAGATCACATGGAGGGGTCGACAGGGACGATGTGAAAAACAGAGAAGAATCCAAAGGACGCACGTGACCAGACCCCGAGATAAAACGACTAGATTTAGATTACCATCATCATCATGCTTCATTAGCTTATCAACGGTCATGATCGCATGGTCATATCATGATGTTGGAAGATTTGTTGACCAACGCGCTGCGGTGGGGAGTGCGAAGGAGTTTCATATCTGTACGGTCTGTACTTGGGTTAATTACTACACGCGCATTGGATTGGAGAGTGGGGGTGGGTTCTGTACAGCTCTGTGTTCAATGTAATTATAGTTGCACGCTTCACATAGAGAACCGCAAATAAGCAGCGCGTGAGGGGAGATGAGATTAATAAGAGAGGCGTTATTGAGTGAGGGAAGTACCTCCATGGAATACCCTCCTAGCTCAAATAGTTACTTGCCATGTCAATAAATCTTAAAAGTAGGAATCATTATCAATTTTCAGATAAATTATAGTTTTTTTTTTTTTTAAACAAAAATTTAGAGGGAGATTGGCTACTCTCACCACCGGCGCTAGAGCAGACCCACAACTTCAAGTCGAAAGGACTTACGTGTGGCATCCAACTGCCAGCTGCAACCGGTATGAATTTCTATAGGAAATTACAAATCTCCTATCAACAAGGACTGTTGGTAACGAGACTCGAACATTGATGGGGCTACACACCGTGCAAGGACCTTACCAACTAAATGTGTGTATAAATTTTTATTTTTGCATATATTTCATATTGCAATTGGTCTATAGGCATGAATAACTCGTTAAGCAATGTCTCAATCCAAATTAGCCTATATTTAAATGGAAATATTTGAAAGAAATGATTAAATGTATTTGAAATAGCTAGTTACACTATATTTGGGATAAATTTAAAATGATTATATACAAGGAACTACCGTTTAAAAATATTTTTTTTTTCATCTCTTTTTTATTTCAGAGGTCAATGTGTAAAAGGTTAAAAAAAATCTATACAAAATAGACCAATTGAAATGAAACGATAATATTCTAATTCATAGTTAATAGATAAAACCATACAAAATACTCATGTTCATTATCAAAGAGAACTACAACAACTTCAAAAAATAGACACATTGCAATACATCAAAAATATCTACAAGAATGTGATAATAAACCAAAAAATTATCGCAATCCTCTTCACCTCCCAAGGCATCTTGTCCTATTTGACTTAAGAACTGGCATATATTAGCGCAATCCTGCTCATTTTAAGGCATTTACGTCATTTTTAGGTCCGTCGTCATTTTGATTTTGGGCTTTATCTGCATTTCTTTTGGGTTCTAGCTCTCAAACTTTGGACCCTTATGAGTATTATCTTAAGGGGAGCTTATTCAAGCAATTATTTCTTTAATACATATCAGTTATGTTATTCTTGTAAAACTCTTTGTGGATTGAACATCTAAGGCTTTTTACCTAAATTGACCTTAGGTCCTTTCATGCATTCATATCATACATGAAAAATTATTTTCTGTAAAAATATTGGCTAAGTATGAAAAATGGTTTTTCAGAATAATCATTTTCTCAAGATAATTTTTGGCGGCTTTTATTCCTTACACGTTAAATAAGAAAACTTAATTGTATGGAATTTTAGTATGAAGTATATATTGACTTAATGAGCCATCATTTTTAGCCTAAATTGTATTTTGCCCTAAAACCAATTTTTCATATTTTGATTTGGTGGGAATTTGATTTTGTAGTATTTTTATTTGAATCCAAATGGAGGTACTTCCTTGTTTACATTGTAAACGAGTTATTTAAAAATAAATGAAAGTAAAAGGACAAAGATATTTGCAGTGGTCAATATCTTCGCCTCCAATGTTGGATTCCAGACTTAGACTTGCAGGAGTGACTCTTTTTGCTCCTATGTGGATCTGCCCATGGACACCGTTGCTTCTTCCCTTCTCCCAAAATACTGGAATTTTAGTATGAAGTATATATTGACTTAATGAGCCATCATTTTTAGCATAAATTGTATTTTGCACTAAAACCAATTTTTCATATTTTGATTTGGTGGGAATTTGATTTTGTAGTATTTTTATTTGAATCCAATGGGGGTACTTCCTTGTTTACATTGTAAACGAGTTATTTAAAAATAAATGAAAGTAAAAGGACAAAGATATTTGCAATGGTCAATATCTTCGCCTCGTGGATTCCAGACTTGGACTTGCAGGAGTGACTCTTCTTGCTCCTATGTGTATCTGCCAATGGACACCGTTGCTTCTTCCCTTCTCCCAAAATACTATTCGTTTTTGTCTTCATGTAATATAAAATATTTATATATAAAATCTCGGAACAAACACAAACCATCAAACATTGTGTTAGTGTTTTTTCTTCTATCTTTTGTGAGTTAATATGGCATGTGCCTCTTGGATGATCATCAATATGACAAGACAACGTAGCGCCTTCAACAGACGATTGCTGCAAACAATTTTTTACCTTTTGTTTTTTTTTTTTGGGCAAATAATTTAATACCAGGCCAAGATGTCAAAGCGCCAATAACGCAGTGATATTTAAAAAAATTATCCTACGTATCATTACGTTAATAACTAGGATAGCCTTACTTACATGGGAATTTCTCTCCCACATAGTCAAAGAAAACAGAGAAAAGCAAAGCATTAAAGATGATGTAGAAAATAATAAGTGGGTCAAGGTTTCTTGAAATAGAGGGGGTTTGGTTTGACCAACATTACACCAGAAGCAGACAAAACAAGTATCAAAAGCAGATTACTAGTTTAATTTTTAATACAAAAGAATTTTGTAGGCTGTTTAAATTAATCTCAGAAGTCAGATGATGCCAACTGTTAATGTAGCATAAAGGTTTGGTTCTAAGTGTTTTTTAAATACATGTTGGGCCAAAGATTATAAATAAGCATGTTACTCTGTTATCTGGATATCCCATACCTTCAAATTTCAATAAGAGATCAGGTGGTCCATGGCTGCCTCAGCCCTATGGAAATAGGTCATGCATACCTTTTTACCTCACTAGTATTTGACTCACCCATGCTACAGTTTTAATTACCCTTACTTCTGTCATATTTACATTTCTGGAGGTAAAAAGTGAACAAACAAATCATAATCGCCAACGGGTCTATCCAGTGATTTAGACTATCATTTATAGATTAGATTATTGCTTGATAATATGTGTGTGTGAAAAACTCTCATCTCCTTATTGTTTAGACTATCGCTTATATTGGAAGAAAAAAAAAATCACAATTTGACATTTTCATTGAGGCAGTTACTAATTGACAGAAAAACAACATATAACATTTTCTAAGTTTTGGTAAACTACATTTATGGAAATGTGACTTTAGACCCAATTGCAAAAGCTGAAGTATACTTGTATTGAAAACTATGAGAATCAAAATCGAATTCAGTCCAAACTACATGAATCAAGTAAGTAATATGATTTTAGATCCAATTGCAACAGTTAATATCATCATGTGATGAATGTTAAAGGATTGAGGAGATAGATATACACCCGTTGCAGGTAAGTTTTTCTCTTTATCATTAGCATGTTTATACAAGGAAGGAGAGTAACAAAAGTCTTAAAACATCATTCACTCAAACCTTGCTGACTTGTGCTCTTCTAGTGCTTGGGATTGCCAGAACCTGATGAGATCTAGCCAGCTTCTTCTCTGGACAAGTTGCTCCATCTCTTGCAGTTTGGCCTTTAGACATTGCACTTCTTTTTCTAAATTTGTGCCCTTTTGCTTCATTGCCTACATTTTGAAATGTTCAAAATACCAATTACCAAAATGCTACGGCTGTCTAGCTACTTGTATTGAATCATTGAACCAGATCTTTTGTTCTTGAATTTACCTCTATTTCTTGCTTGCGCTGTTCCTCCTTTCTAGCTTCTGATCTAGCATTTCTTTGCACCTCAAAGATTATAGCAAGTCCTGCAACCTAGGCAAACAAAGCAGCTATAACTTGAAGTGGCCTATAATATATCAACAAAGGAAGGAGAGATATCAACAAAGATATTAATGCTGCAAAAGATGAGAGTCAAGTCATCCAAAAAATTTCTATTTGACTTTCCTCTGCAGACCATGCACTTCCAGCAATTGCATAGGGTTTCCTCAAAAGTAAAGCAACACTCTGCAACCTAGAGAGACAAGGTTAAAGATAATACAGCAGCCGGTGGGTACCGTGAAGATAACAAGTTCCCCAAGAAGCTCTGCAGCAGCTCCAACAGCTTTTTCTTCATCCATAGGACGGATCACAACATCTGTTGCCCGTCCATATAGACGTCTTTGTACATTTGTTCCGAAACGATAGTTTGCCTGATTCAAGTAGCAGGGTTACAATATAGTACATCACTTAAAACCAAATAGTTTGGATGTTCAAAGAGCAAGTTGTAAATATATATATGCATGTATCATTGAAGACCAACTTAATGAAAAGGACTTGGTTTACATCTCACCCCATTCTGAAAAATCTCATTCTTATTTTGCTTTTAGATCATTCTTCCATATCAAATGATCTTGACAAAATATTAATTTGATGTGTTTGACAAAAGTTCCCAACCAATCCCTTAACACTGGGAAATATGAATGTCCATGGCAATTCAGTAATCTTGTGAGGAACCAAAAGAGAAACAGAAAACCCAATTGAAAAATCAAACTTTTAGCACAAAATAGCATTCATAAATAATCAAAATCTACACACAGAAAAAAAAACAATTACATTAAAAGAAAGAGAAAAGGGGCGGCAAGTGAATTTGAGAGAGAGAGAGAGAGAGAGTAAACCTGGGCAAAGCTGATGATATAGTCACGAAACCTGGGGTGTAAGCCAGCCTCTACTTTGAGCCTTCTAGCAATGGGCCTGGAAATAGTTCGTAAGGCTAGTGTTCCAAGTTTTAACAATGGAAGCATTCTCTCTCTCTCTCTGATTGATATACGTAGCTGTATTATGGTGTGCACGTACAAAAATATTGGGTCGTCTAAAAGCTTTTGGTTCTTGTCGAGCAAGAAAACTTACAAGATATACTCGAGATTAGAACAAACAGGGGAGAGATGGTGGCTACTTCTTTGTCAAGTCAGTATGCAAATAATTTAGGATAATAAATAACTTTTTTCCTACCTACTCAATTGTATTTTTTTTCTTTCCCTAAACCTCTGATAGCTGTTTTATGAAGCCCATTTAGGAGAGTGTAAAACCTTAGATAACCGCCCTTTGATTATTAGGGTTCAGGCCTAGCAACCTTAAACTCAAGCTTGCCTGTATGGTGCAATTTTTTTATTTTAAAAACAAGCGATAGTCTAAATTAAGAGAGACAGGAGTTTCTCACACATACACTATCAAGGTGATACGGAGTTTGAACTTGAGACCACAAGTGTAGTTAGGCTGTGAAGTTCTTCCAATTGCAAATTAAAAAATAAACTATAAATAAACTAGAAAAAATGGTGAAAAATGTTTTTGCCATAAATAGTTTAAAGAGGCTCTCGCAATTGGAGCTTTTACCCTACCAGATGTGCTTGGCAATTGCAAATGTTAGGTCACATTACCTCAAATGATGCCTCGGCAAAGCCAACTTACCTACAGTTGAGTTGAGTTGAGTCTAATAAGCAAACTCCTTCATCTTGTAAAATTATGATTTGTATCAGACTAATGATTACAAAATAGAGCAATTTTAAAGATTTATCACAAGAACATTCTCAGACATTTACAGATTGCCAACCGGATATAAAGACTTTTTCAACCCCTGAACTTGCAACTCCTGTACAACTGCCAGTTCTTATTGTATGGAGAAGTGTAACCAACGGAGAGATGCTAAAGGCAAATATAGTGGTAAAATGTGCAAGAAATAGACAAAATCAGTGCAAGCTGTAATTTTCATCAATCAAATTTGAGCACTACTTTGCCATGGATCTGCTTCTTCTCCTTTGCCTCATGTGCCTCTATCACTTGAGTGATGGGAAATGTTTTCTCCACGGGTATATTCAATTTTCTCGCTTCGCACAGCTTTCGGATCTCAAATAACCCTTCTGAGTCGGCTCTCATGTAAGTCCACCAGTATTCTACACCATCAACAGAATAAATAGAACTTGTTAAAATAACAACCTAGGCTTGCAAAGGTAATATCAGAACATGTAATTTCGGCATCAGATGTAACTAGACAAAAACGTATCTGATCTTTAAAAAAAGGACAAAAAGAAAGAAGGTTTTCAGACCGTCTTTTGTTATTTAATATAATTTGACATGCTTATTATGTCAATTAACACAATAAACCATGAACTAATGACAAAACGTGTAACATCAGCTTATTTTATCAAATATTATATTCTTCCTAGTACTCCTCCCTTTTATTGCCTTCGTCCTATTCAAGTCTAAAACTGCTTAAAAATTCATACGCAAACAAAACCAAAGCAAGCAGGATAAAAGGTTTAAACCAAAAGGACATCAACAAACTCACATTTAATCAACTTGTGAAAATATTATCACAATTTCCCTGCTTTAAACAAACAATGAAATTAAAGTGCGCACCATGATGAAACATGTACCAAAAAATGAATGCTGGTTTTACCTATTCCATGAGAACAGCGGTACTGATTCTGTTTCTTTAGTAACACAGCTGTAGCAACTGGAAGCCCAAAAGCTATCCCATACCTATCAGTCAAAGATGCTGCCTCACCCTACAACAAAAAGAGGATAAAAGCCTTATCAGCCTATGCTGCAGAATTCTGAAAGGAAAAATCAAAGGTCCCTTAGAGAGAAGCAATACTAACAAGTTTCCATCTCCTACCTGAAGTGTCATGTAGTGTCCACCTCTTTTTAAAAAATTTATGCTTATTCTTTCAGTTTCTGGCCCACCAATGGTGTCCAAAACAGCATCAAACTTCCCCTTTATTACAAATTCAATGTCCTGTGAATCAAACATGTTAACTCAGCAAATAAATCATTCATGGTTTTTACATCCATATATATATGCACATAGAAACACTTTTCTATATAGGAGTTTCACTCAGCTAGGGAAGTGAAATGAAAGCCAAGTAGCAGTTGATTACATCATCACCTCAGCAGTATAGTCAACAGCCTGCTCAGCACCAGCTGCCAATACTCGATCTATACTTTGCTTTCCGCAGGTAGTTGTAACATGGCAGCCTTTGGCTACTGAAATCTGAATTGCAGCCAAACCTACAGCTCCTCCACCACCCACTACTAACACCCTTTGTCTGTAGAGATCAGAAGCAATAACAAAAGGATGCTAAATTGTTAATGACAGTTAGCAACTTCAAAAAATAATAAAAATAACAAGAGGCAAGACATTTTATAAAAGCATACCCCTCAGCTATCCTAGCAGTACTTTTGAGAGCACGCCAAGCAGTCAGAGCAGCAAAAGGAATGACACTTGCTTCCTAGGATCACACAGAACAAGACAAAGCCAAGTTCTGTAGTCAGAAAGCAATAAACAGAACGTAAATGTTAAACCTCTCCTCCACTTAACTATCAATTCCTAAGGTTGATTGGAATCCTAAGAGAATTGATTACAAAACATAGTATGCTCATATTTCATGCTACATTGAATTTCGCCCATCTTGTATCATATGCAAGCCACTTTCAATATTTCCTACAGACAAGATAAAAATGGGAGTGGAAGCAGAAAAACATGCTCACCCCTAGAATTCCAAATAAAAATGATTGCCAATTTTCACAAAGCACCTTCTCATTTGCTGTTTAATATTGGTGGCCTGAGTTCCCTATCAGGTGGTTTCTACTCCAATTAATCTACAATCTAAAGCTAAGAAAACTGTTTTCTATCATTCTATTTTCTCCTGAGCAAGGAGGAAGTTTGAAAGATGCTTCGTTTTCCCCTTCACCATGTTTTGAAGCTATAAACCTTTCAAAACTAGCTTTCCATAGTTGATCAAATAACAGCAAAGAAAGCACAAATAAACATTTTAAGGTAATAACACTTTTCTACCACCTACTAAATCATCCTCTAACACAACTAAAACTGAACCATCCACTAACACTATATCGAGGGTATGAAGAATAACAGAACACATAGAGCCAAACCAAATCATAAAAAGCAAAAGACCACCAAGTGTAACATTCTACAGTTCTTTAGCTAGGAACAAAGTACAACAACATTTACCACATGTGTAACTGACGCTGGTTTTGGTGCAAGTTCCTCATCTGATAGAATTGCATAGTCAGCATAAGTACCCCTTACAGCAGTAGGATGCAATGCACCAAAAACTTCTTGTCCTACACTCAATCCCCGAACTGAATCTCCCACAGCTGCAACTTCACCACTAATATCACGACCCAAAATAAGAGGTAGAAGGGGTTCAAATATTGAACGACCATAGCCAGATCGCATCTGAAAAAATTAAAATAACCAGAACACTGAATACAATGATAACATTATTGCATAGTATTACAGAATTAGTGTGCTGCAACCTCAGCCGTATGACAGGCATAAAATGAAATAATCTTATGAGAGTTTGAATCAAGGTATTCACGTTATATCTGGGCTATTTGAAACAGGAGAAAAGAGCAAATGCATGAAAAATAATAATAATAGCAGGCGTTCATGTTAAAATCTTGCTTTAAAATTAATAATAAATTGACAGCCAATGATGTTTAGATTAGAAAATGAATTTCTATATGGTCACACTACAGCAGAAACTAACTATAAATATATCTTCAACTTCATGTGATAAAATTTTAGACTAACCAACGTAATGTCATCACTCAAACACTCAAATGTTAAACATACTCAGAATCATAATTACTGCATAGATGCAGCTGAATGATTAAAGAAATTTTAAAAAAAAAATGCTGATTGCGCAAATATGAAAATTTGTGGCTCAAGTTATTGTTGGAATTGGAAAAGGCCAAAATGGAGAAGAGAAGCTGAAAATCAAAAACTTAATTTCCCTTGTTTCCTCAGCAACCAAACAGACCTTAGAAATTAAACAGGAGAATCAATTAACGAAAGAAATGACATTTGACTCACTCTGGTATCGAGGGGATTGATGGAGACGGCACGAGTGCGAACGAGGACCTCATGGGGCTTGAGATCAGGGACGTTGACATTGGGCCGGAGCTCCAGAACCTCAGGCCCACCGAAGCGCGGCAACACCACAGCTCTACAGCTGGTGGCGAAGCGCCTGAACCCTACCTTGAGGTGGTAATTGGAGTCGGAGACTGAGGCTCGGAAGCTTCGTGACCTCAGAATTCGCATTGTGACTTTGCGATCAAACCAGAAAGCTCAGATCATCAGAGAAAGATCGAAAGAGCGAGTTTGTTAGGGTTTTTTTAAAGAGAAGGAAATATGGTAGTGAGTATGAGAGAAGGAAACAGAGAGAGAGAGAGAGAGAGAGAGAAACGTGTCTGTGTTTTGGTCCGCAGAGAAATAGAGTGAGAGAGGGTTCGTTCGTTATGTTGCGCATTGCGTCGTGGCTTGCTTTGCTTTCTTGGATTTTGTGGGGGCTACCTTTGCTTGGGCCTTGGCGCATTTTATTGTTTCTTTGCATTTTCTGCTAACGTCTGCGTTTTCATTCGTTTGAATTTGGTTCCATTCCACCACAATGGACTTTAGGGTTTACGTTAAGGTAATTTAGGGCCTAAATAGATTTAAGGTAATATTCATCTTTCACAATACTAATCAAATGTTAACCAAGTCTATTAATCAACTAGATGTTTATGTTATCGGTGAATCTAAATCATCGATCAAGTTGATTCTTGCATGAATGTGTCGTCCGTATTACTTAAGATTTGATGCCAAAACAAGCCAACTAACACTAAAAAGAATACTGCCTCACTTAATGGCCAAGAGAACATGAAAAAAGAAATGGAAGCTTTGGATTTAACAATTTGAGGTTACAGTTGAAATTGTAAGACTTCACACTTTTTTGGAACTAGTCATTGGCATTCAGAATTAGTATACAGGGGAAGCTCATACTCAAATCATACATTGATGAAAACCAATGCTGAGAAGAGGTTGTATATTACTCATCCTTTTCAGGATAGAGGAGCTAGGAGCTAACAACAAGAGGGCTGACAAATTTGTCAACGCAACTTTCTAGTTTCCTTTTGGCATGTTCTCGAGAGAGCCACCAGGAACCACGACTGTAGCAGTGCCGCTTGTGATTACAGCACTACCTGGAGGAAAATTAGAATTCCCTGAACTAATAACAGTGCTGACTTCAGCTCTTTTCAATTCTGGAGTCGTAGATTGGGTAGCTAAAGAAGCATTAGCATGCAAAACTGGGGGCGCCGAAGCTGCATCTGTATTCTGCTGCTTTTGCATCATTTCAGCAGAAGTAACAGACCCCATAAAATGATCCATACTTTTCTGCTCTGCTGATGCTGCCTCATTCACAGCATGAAGTTGTTGCAACCTGTAATCCGTTTCAGGCCGACGGCAGACCTTCCTTAGTGGAACAATTTCCTGTCGAAATGCATGTTAAGAACAAAAGGTTATGCAAATCATTACCTGAACTTGCAGATTCACTAATTGAAGATATAAATTTAAAAGGTACTATTTAAACATGTGGGCAGTTTTATACCTCGGACTGATCATGAACATAGCGCACCAAAAACCTACAACGACAACCTCTTACATCATGTCTTCGTCTTTGAGCATCAAGGACATGGGCATCAAAGTACAAAGCCTGCTCTTTACCTTCCTGAAAAATTTAAATCCGTTAGATTTCCATGAAGATCTGATCAGAAATAACTTATCTTAATCATTGATCCAATATGTCTCTTTGAAGGACATAGAAACAAATGAACGCCACCTGAAAACATAGTATGAGATCTCCTGGGAGAACTGCAACACACTCTGATGATTCACATGGCAGAGAGCGCTGCCTGACATGCTTCCGTACATTGACCCATTCATCCTCCTCTGGTCCAAACCCAGCAAACCGAACCAGTACTTCCTGAAACAGCCAGCAAGATTCAATCTGGGGATTTGTTATAATAACCAATTTTATCTTTCATTTACAAGAAATTGGCACAAGTTTAGTTGGGATTCAAGGCCGAGGCAGTTGAGTTGAATCAAATGTTTAAGGAGAAGAATACTAAGATAATAGACATGCAGAACAAATAAGAAAGAAAAGGAAAAATAACAACAAAGAAAGACCTATAATGAATTCCTTTTAACAACTTAATGCCGTACATGCAAGAAAACTCATATTAGAAAATTACCGGATCACCAGTCTCCAAGTATCTATGAGATAAAAAGTTAGCAACATCATACCTGAGCACAGCAGACAATGAAATTAGACGAATAATGATAACTCACTTATGAGTCCAATTATTAAAAACGTGAGAATTCATTTTTGACAAAAAGAATAATTTATTATTTATTAATTGGAAGGGTAAAGAAACATCAACATGACAGAAACTAGAGTTCATAGAAAGAAGGATAAGAGTTACTGACCATGCACCATCCCTCCCAGATTTAGCTTCAAACTCAAAAATAGAATTTTCAGAAGCACCCTTTCCGGAACCTTGAGCTGGTTAATAAATGAAAACAAGGGCAAAAATATCCAAAGTCTGATGAATATACATAAGAGGATGGGATTATTAACACCTATTCACAATTCATGCATATGTTTATATGGAAAAGAGACTTGCACCGCCTAAAAATACCTAAAATAAGAGTCCTCCATTACAAGAGCCCTCCTTAACAACTCAAGCATGTACATAAATGCTCAACGGAATTGGTATGTCAAGGTAAATAATTAGAGTAAGTTATAAATAGAGCATGCCACATACACAAAAACCAAGAGATGACTATATTAGGCTAAACAGGAAAACATATCTCTAGAATATTAAACTTCAATGATGTTAACTGACCAAAAAACTAGCTGCCCATGCAGCCAAAAATATAAGGTCACATATTGATGATTGAAGAAACAATTCAAGTAGACAACATCAATATAGGCTACTCAACATAAGTTCAAACAAGTAAAATGAGTATATAATGCCACCAGATGAGTAAGCCTAAAACTAAGGAAAATGAGATATAAAGGATATTAAACTAAATATAGAGCAAGTTCCATCCTACCTGAAGGAGCATGTATAGGAGCAGCTACAGGTTCAGGGCCTTGAGGAACATTTCTCACTGGATTTGAATCATCCCGAGACATAGGTGATACATTTAACTTCCCAAGAACCTTACTTGATTTTGCCCTAATAGCATATCGCCTATTTTGGAACCAATTCCAAACCTATAACCAAAGAATTAAGAAATTTGTTCAAACCAATTCCAAACCTATAAATATAATGAAGATTATAAGTTACAAACAGAATTAAATGGCATCCCAAATCAATTTCAAACCTATAATGCACATTATAAATTACAAACAGACTTAAACGATATTTCCTTACGAAAAATTACAACGGAAAATTTTCATACTTGCTTCATTTGTACTGCAATCTTGCCCTTCCGCTCTGCCGATTCACTACACCAAAGACAAGTATCTTGGATTTAATGCTTATAAGAAGAACATAATCTTTTCAAATTCTAAGTGTTTAGAACTAATGCAAACCTGAACTTATCCGCAAGGGCCACAAGAACTTCACGTGCTGGCATTGTGTTATTGTGCTGTTGCAGAATAGCTTCCATCTCCGAAACCTAATAATGCCAATTTACAGATGGTGTCATTAAGGTTCAAAATATAAAATACCTTGAAGAAAAACTAATCAGCATTCACGAATCAACAATCATCTACAGATATGTATATGTGCACGTATATGGAATATGGATATGCATTATAAGTATAACAGGTACAGTGAGTTAAAAGGTGAAGATTTTCTTCATAGGAATTCTCTATTGCTTATGAATCATTACTTCTCTATTTACACAGCATATGTTATGGTCCCAAAAACCTATTTTAACGCTCATTTCAGCAACCCAATTTGCTCCCCTCAACTCTTTTTGTTTACATGTATTTGTTATACTCTGAAGTGGGTCATCTATACGATTCAAGTTTCATCTCCACATATTAGTGCAATAGTGCTTGCTGGCTACTGATTCAGTATTAAAGGAATGCTCTGTATTGGCTCCAAACAAAAACAAAAAAAGGAATGATCCTTAAGACTTTAACCGCATTATTGATTCATATATTGATACAATCATTGAATTGAAGTGCGTCTCTTTTTCTTATATATTATATATATGAGTATTTATAAAATAAATACTGTACCAAATTAAAATGTTACACGAATTGCTACCCAAAAAACCGTACCAACTATACCTACCCCTTCATGCCCCATACCATAGAAACCAGCATACCCTGAACCCAAACCCATTCCACGCACCCTCTCATTCCCCATACTAGGTAACCACACAATGAACTAATATGGAGCTCTTATTGGGGTAATAATTCACAACTAATTATGCCTATACAACCCAAACACCCAAAATGGACACAAGGTAGGAAACAAGCTTATGAAATATATATGAAGATAACATATAAAGTAGACACAAGGTATTCAGTTTCCATTCTGTGCTTTATGTTAAACAGTAATAAAGTTGTTAAAGAGGCATTATTTCGGAAGCTATGCCTATTCCATTTTAAGAATTTCTGGATAGTATTTAAAATGCCTTCCTGACTAGGGGAACTCTCATAGAACAAACCCGCCAAATTGAACTACAAACCATTACTTACATAACGGACTAGCAAGGACCATCGATATGATTTAAAGAAAGATTGGGAAGGGGAACCACCAAAACCTAAGCTAGAGATATTAGGTAAGCTATTATATTTTAAGAAGGAAAAAAAATTACATGGTATTGTAAGAAGTAAAATATCATCCGAAGAAAAAACTGCAATAACATCAGGAACAATATCAATAGGACTCAAGCACAAACCAAAGAATTGAAAAAACGCTGAAAATCAAGCTAACAAAACCCACAATCTAACTGACCCATTTAAGAATCATCACTCTTAGTTCGAAATTTGGCACTTCTACTAGCGAATTCAAAATTTACAAAAAAAACTTTCAGAAAATTAAACTCTAATTCGAAATTTAGCAGACATGCAAACATAGAATCAAAAAATTATGAAAACCCTTCAATAACTTCAACTCTAATGTCGAAATGTAGCAGGTTCCCAAATACATATAATTAGTTAAGAAATCGTCAAAGAAAAATAAAATAGAAGAGTAAGAAGAAGAACATAAGGTACCTCAGACTGCGTGAAGCGGAAGGCAGGGCCTCCGTTACTCGGAGGCCTACCCATGGCTGCTCTCTGTGTCTTTGTCTGAGACTCTCAGAAGCACAAGATAACTTTTTTTCCTTTTTTGCTTGGAAGAAGCAAAAAGGGAATGAGGGACGAAGACAGGAGTTGGGTTTTGGCAAAGTACGTATCGCGAGTGTCAGGCACAGACAATTTTACTCGGAAAATCTGGAAAAGGAAAAAAACAAACAAATAATTCGGTAGAGATTTATAGAGACGAGAGAGAGAGAGAGAGAGAGAGAGAGAGAGCGAGAGATGGTGGGTGTTTGATTTGGTTTGGGTTTGAATCTGAAGGTTTTGAAGCCCAAAAATGCAAAATTGGGGGCAAGCCCTGGAAAAGGGTTACTCTCTGGTATTGTCCACTAACGACCAATCACCCCAATGTCTCTTTACAAGTTTTTTTTGTTTTTGTATTTTTAGATATCTTTCTATTTAAAATAGCAATAGTTGTTGGTTTTTCTATTCTTTTTTTAATTAATTAAAAAATGAGTAAGCCCGTCGGCCTAATGATAGACTACTTATCCTGACACTTATGGCAAGAATTTGATCCTTCTATCTTTGAAGAAAATATAAGTTAAAGAAAGACATTCTGAAGGAGTATACAAGTCATTATGCACTTTTTTTTTTTTTTTTGCGCTATAAAAAAAGTCACCATGCACCCTTTTTATTTGCGCTCAAAAAAATCGTCATAATTTTTTTAGCATTCTAAAAAAGTCATTATGCACTTTTTTTTATATCAATTCAGTAAATGAGAGAATGACTCGTAAGGAGTACATTATAGCTTTTTGAGAATGTGATTAACAATTCTTGTATAAAATTCCAACATGAAAGTATTATTTCAAATTCCTTATTTTCTAAAGTAACCAAATTCATATGTGGATTTTATTAATATAGAAAATAGTTGAAAATAATTTCCAATTCAGAGATTTAAACCCAAAAATAAAATTTTTAGTTCTTCCATCCAAAAGGCATTCCTAACTTTCACATTCTTGGGTCCAACTTGTTTTCTATTGTTGACAAAATTAGGTTTGATATGTTTGAACTTTGATATTTCAAGTTGACTAGCCTCACTTGACATGCGCTCACGCGTTTGTCAATTGGGTTTTTTTAAATAATTTTTATTTATTTATTACACACAGTTATGGCACTGACGGCACATCCTCACATTGGATTATAGCTAAATCTAACTCGTAACAAGCATCGTTGGCCTTTGTCTTCTCAGATCAAAAAATTAGTCGACAATAAAATTTTCCTTATAAAGAAAACTTTACTGCCACATGTTTGATGTAAATTTGCGGTGACAAACCGTTGGGTTGTTTTAAATGTTAGTGCACTGACAAAAATCTTATATTCCGTTTACAAGGAAGCGGGCATACTATCTTAGTGGAGAATTCAAATTCAGTGCAAATTGGTGGAGAATTCAAATTCCGTGCAAATTGGTGGAGAATTCAAATTCAGTGCAAGGTAGCAGACACAGCCTTGGTGGGGAACTCGATTCAGGGCAACTAGCAGACACACAACCTGTACCAGGTCTAACCTCGGCCTTAATTCGTCATATGTTCGAAAACCAACATCGTTATATGATAAGTGGGTATCTTGTTTAAACATGTTCCAAATGCTTGGTAATGGTTGCAAACTTGATGCCAGGCCGTTGAACATAAGACTTAACCCGAGCTCCTTCTCACATATTCAACTAAGCAGAGACATCGGATTGGTCAAAATCTTCACAACCATTTCCATCTAAACGCAATCATTCACATCAATCTATATGGGAAGAGTATAAAAACTAGTTGAAAGAACCACCAATAGGTAAATTATACAGCAAGCCTATTCTCATAGCTTCGGACATTCAGAGTATGTTAGAATACATATATATCTATATATATACCAACTTATAAAACAAATTGAAAAATGTACATACATGGGTTCAAAACTCTACTATGTTACAGCCACCATACGAATAAAGCCCGATAATACTTTATTGGATTCAAGGGCACAGAACTTTCCAGCCCTCTCTTTCCTTTACAACAACAAGACTGAACTTGAAACATCCCCTATCTTCTTTCCTAAGCACCATCATCATCAACAGTGTTGACCCGCTCACATTCGTCTATCCATTCACTGTATCTGTAATGAAAGAATTTATGGTCATACAAAAGAGTAAAGGAAAAGAGAACAAACTTAATATGAAACTAACCATTAACAAATTCACTAGACAAAAGGATATGAACTACTTACACGTCAATCGGTTCAGTCAAAGCTGCAAAAACAAACAAAAGAAAGATCAGCAATTATCAACACACATGGAAATGGCAGTAACCATACGGAAGAACAAGAAGCATCTAAACAGAATAATCATCCAAAACCAAAGTTGCCACATTTACCTACAACCTAGGGGAATTCTCTATCCAGTTTTCCAGTGCAAGGTTGATAGATATTCAATTATGATTCTACTCAGGTTATCCACAAATCTCCCAACACCATCCTTGTTTTGTCCACATACCATAACAATTCAAAACTCTGTTCGGAAACGTATTTTCATTTTGAATTATTCACTTAAATCTCCCTACATTTCATATGCATTATTAACTGTTACATCGAAGTTGGTGACTGTGAAAAGCACCATGTTCATTTTCACCCGACAAAAAACCTAATTACTGTAAAACCAATAACAAAACTCAAATCCTCACAAAAAGAAATTATTGGTGTTGTAGTTTTGACTAATCTTTATGTGTACTTCTGGTTATATAATTATCAATCCATCCTGTTACACTCCCAACATTGGACCTCACAAGTATCCAGAAACAACACGATCTCAGAAATGCTGTACCTTAAAAAATAGTAACTTAAGACCACAATAAAGTATTTGACATACCTGTGATGGTTGTGCTGAAATTCTCTTGGCAAATGCTACAGATAGCCTCTCCAATCAAGTTCTTCATGTCACTGAAACCAAATAACTTATTCACTTTCAATTCAAAACCAAATGAGAAACAAGAACATATGCAAGTAAGCTAAACCCAGCCAGATTCTATTTCATATATGAAACAAAGAAATGGAAATGAAAATGTGATAATTACCACACATCTCTACCATAGTTGACCAAAAACACATTCCTTGGCAGCACCATTGAACATATAGAACTCAAATAAACTCGATACATTCCTAAGAAGATAAAATATGGAGAAAATAGATTAACGAAAACTTACATTCGGCATTCAACGCTGCTCCCATGGTTGCAAAAGGGGCAACAGAAAACAGTATCAAGCTTGTCCATTCGCTTCTTAGCTGCAGGCTTTGCCTTGGACTTTCTCTTGCCCATTTTTCAACAAATTTCTGTCCTGTTATCATTATTTCAACCAATTAGTTCTCGTTTTAGGATATTAAACAAAACATGCAGCCACCATATCACTTGGGCTTCCCACATACATAAATAGATGGTGCAATGCCTGCTATCATTTTAAAGTATATGCTTTAATTAACAGTTATATAAACCCTGTGTGCGTGTAATTTCAATTAATTGATATTGCCGTGATGTGAAATTTAGAATGCATTTGACAAATACAAGGAGAACATGGGGTTTGGGGAAATATTAAGCCCAAAAATTCGATTGAGGGTTGTGATAATATGTGTTTATATACATAACATAATCACAAAAAACCTTCAGAATTGAAATAAAATTGTTTCTGCTGTTAATTAGAACAAGGAAGAACTTTTGCACCGGAAAACATACTGCTGAATTCCAAATTCGCATACCCAAAAAAAAGTTAAAACTTCAAAAGGGGGGTTGGGAAACCCTAGAAAATTTACAGTCAAAGAAACGAAATTGAAGTCAAAGAAAGCGAAATTAGGAAAGCGATGAAGAAACCCTGGATTCTGAGGAGAAACTGAGAATATGTTCTCGTTGAATGAGAGAAACATTAAGATCACGAACCCTTAAAAGGAGATCGGGGAAAAGAGAAAGACCGTACCTTAGTGAGACAACGCACTTCCGAATCGAATGATTGCTTGCTTTAGAAATGCTATATTTCTGCGGGAGAAAATAATAAATAGGGCGGGTCTCTATTTATAGGCATCTGTTTGCGGCTTGCCCACGTAATCAAGGGCCAAAAAATAAATATCGGCTTCTCTTAGGGCATAAGGCTCAAGAAATGTTAATGCTACTCTAGCAAAAAAAGAAAAAGAAAAGGGGGATCTGTATTAAAGAACTTTATATTTATTATACTTCCTTGGGTTGTTTTTATTACTCTCCATTGTTGATTAATAATTACTTAAATCAGTAATATTATTCCATTCTTATTACAAAATGGTTAAATAACTTTTTGGTCATTGCGTTTTACACAAAAATTCAATTTGGCCACTAGAAAAATCTCAATTTTTACTGTTATTCATTCAATAACAAAAAAACTAAATTTAGCTCTTTATATAACTTAATACTAAATTTATGTTCATGGATATTCTATGAAACATGGTTACTGAAGTACTTTCCCCTAAGAAAGGTAAACGTACAATAGATGAACGTATGTATTTTTTATGTTTAATTCATATGTTTTTTACAAAAAATTTAATAATACACACAAAATTCATGTATTATACACATAATTTTCACATATTATTGAATAAAAATAATATATATTAAAAAAAATTAAATGAAAGTGTAGGGGAGGTTAGGAGGTGTGATATATTGTGAGGTTTTTGTATTTATTTTCTCAAAACAGTATCGCCGGGCGGCTATACTTGTAACAAAAATAAAAAAATAGCCGCCTAATTGCTAGGCGGGACTTTTTTTAACTAATCGGCTATACTTTTTTTAACTAATCGGCTATACTTTATAAATATAATATATATATAAACATTATAGCCGAACGGCTATACTGTGTAACCCTTTTATATTTTTTTAAATAGTCTAGCCGTACGGCTATACTGTAAGGGTTTTTTATAATTATTTTCAATAAATCGTATAGCCGACCGGCTATACTCGTAAAAAAAAAGGCTACCATTGCTCTAGGCGGCTTTTTTTAAAATAATAAATAGGATAGCCGCGCGGCCATACGAGGTTTCCTTTTTTAATTATTTAAATCAATAGAATCGCCGAACGGCTACACTGTGAGGTTTTTTTTTTTATTATTTTCAATAAATCGTATAGCCGAGCGGCTTTACTCGGAAAAAAATGCCTCCTAGGGCTAGCTGGGCTTTTTAAAAATATAATAAATAGTATAGCCGGGCGGCTATACCGGGGTCTCCTTTTTAAATTTTTTTAATGAATAGTATAGCCGTGCGGCGATACGGCTGTGCTTTATTTTAATAAATTTTAATAAATAGAATGGCCGCACAGCTATACGGGGGTCCCCCTTTTTTAAAAAATGAATGGTACAACTGTGCGGCTATACCTCGGTTCTTTATTTTAATAATTTTTAATAAATAGTATAGCCGCGCGGCTATACTTGGGTCTTTTTTTTATTTTTAAATATATACTTTTTTTTCCCTGATTTTCATTTATCAATAAGTGTAATTTAGAGCATTATCCATTACTATCAGGCCATTACCCAAATCTCTATTGTTCCTTTTTAATTTTTTACTTTTTCAGAGTTATTAACCATATAAAGAATTTAGCATTTTACGGTTTGATACTCGTATTATACATGTACATTTGTATTTTTCAATATTACTTCCATTTTCCGTACAAGTCTTTAAGACTCGGTAAAATACACATTTTTAAAAAAGCAAAACAAGAACTGAACCACAAGTCTATCAAAGCAGGCATTTTCCTCCTGTAAAAAATTGGTGGGTAAATGCTGCACCAATAATTTATGTTCGAGGGACAAAATTGTGCGTACAAGCAAACATTTTACAAGACATGAAAATTTCCTCCATGGAGAGAGAATAATTTCCTGTCTTCACGAACCTTTTCACCAAAGGATTAAATATAAAGAATAATTCAGCTGGCACCAATGAAAATTTCCTCCATGGAGAAAGAATGGCGGTGAGTCTAAATTTTTTTATCAATTCAAGACATCATGAGATTATCTGTAGCTCTGTTTGATGAAAGAAATTGTTATTGTCTGGTATATCGTTCTTTTTGTTCTTCCTTTTGGCTACATGGGATCTGTTCCTTGTGAATTGAACTTAGCTTCCGAACGGTAAATGGAACTATAAACAGGAAGTCAATACTACGGTGCTGTTTCTGCAAGGTCAGTTTTCAAATCATCTCCCTCCTTCCGCTTCTTTTTAGGCTTTCGTTTCGTCTGTTTCTGCTTGAGTTTAATTTGATCTTTAACTCTCCTTTCCCATGCTTTTTTGTTTTTCTGATAAAGAACCATTGCTGCGCGAGCATCTTCTACCTGAAACAACGTCATGAGTTAAACAAAGGCATCCAACAGATTTGTTGACAAGATGCGGACATGATAAGCAATATGCAGCAACATTCAAGACATAAAGCAATATAACTATAAACAAAAACTTTTACCAACACAGCATCCAAACAGGTAATAATATGAGTTTCTCAACGAAGTAAACTAAATATAATAATTGTATAACAGGGTAATGAATTAAAACTTCTTCAAGGCATTGCATTCACCAACTTCGCAGGCAAATCAAGTTTCATTTGAGGAGAAAATATCTGCCTCCACTCAAACTTTTGATAGGTGTTTGGAATAAGAAGAAAATAAAGGAGAAGGTGTGAAGAGAAAGAAGGTTGAACAAAATACATGGTCCCTCTATTTTCAGGTTCTGAGTGATACAGCAGAGTCCCAAGGCGCTTTAGTTACTTATTTTTTATGTCTTCTTTTATCTCAAATATAAAATACAGCTAAGAGAGACTTTTAGACTTTCTAGGGCACATAGACAAAAGCATGAAGTCTTAGACTTCTAAGACTTCCCAGACTCTTCACGAACCTTCTAGCACTTAGCACATTAACATGTAACAGTAGGGAAATGCTACTTATCCCACCCTTTCTTTCCCAACTTACATGCCACATGATAGGGACCACATCATTGCATTAAAAGAAGAACAATGTGGCAAACCCAATTTCAGCATGTCATCTAAGTTGGAAAGAAAATGTTGGGATAAAGAGTTGGGTTGTATAGCATTTGTCCTTTTTGATGAGCCTTGTCGCATTTCAGTGGAGTTTGTGAAATCATATCCTAATGCTAAATGTTGTAGAAGTTGTATAGAAAGTGCAACAAGAATACAATTTTCTGTTCAAACTGCACTGAGAAAAAGAATCAGAATACTAACTGGGCAGTGCTCCCCATTTTGGATCTGAACATCAAGAAACTCAGCTGCAAGATGCCGAAGTGCCCTTCTGGACCCTTTCCCCCTGCTTCACCAACCACACATATCATGAGGGCAAATCATGATACTTGAAGACTCTCAGCAAATTTTAATTATTGAATAATTCTTAAAGAACGAAAAAATTACCTCATAAAAGGTTCATACTCCAATGTATCCCTCAAGTCCTCCTTGGGATGACTTAAAAGCAATGCCTGTTTCAGTCAAAAAGTTAGATTAAAGATTCACATCTTTACTCTACACAACCATATTAAAAGGCCAGATACCTTAAGATCATTGCGCAATGCATGGCCCACAAGAATTCGTCCTTTAATAAACTCTGCCACTCTTTTCTGAACAATTCGAAAATCCTTTGCTGCAGATAACAAAGATGCATGAGGCATTCTATCACTGTCAGCATAATTTCGCATATATTGGTCTTGTAACTCTAGTTATAATAAATACATATTGATAAATTGTTCATTTAAAAAAACAAGATGTTGCAAATGGAGTGTAAGGATGATGAAAATGATAGTTTACAGAACTGAGATGGGCACTAAAGAGAGACAAGATTATTTAAGACATAGACACCAAGTGAGAAAGAAAATACATAATTGGCAACAACAAAAAAATCATGTAGCTCATCCGGAGAAGAAATTGATGTTAGTTGTATTAGTTTGCACATACAATATTAAAAAAATTGATTTTGCACATAAAGCACAGCCTAATCTATTGACCAATGGAAGTCACTTACGGAGCTAACATAACATAGCCATTTAAGAAACCACCAATTTAGTAGCAGTTCATTCTAACATTTTTCTCTTCTTTTATTTTCAGAACAAGAATTTCATATAGAAGTTCTAGTGAAGCATACCTACATTTAATATATTTAGAAAAGCAGCAGAAATAAAGATAAAGTCAACCTTTTCTCAAGTCCCGGGGACGAATGCCACTTATTTGAGTGCGAAAATCAACAACATGTTCTAGTGGGCGAACAAACTCATCGTATATAACATTACCCCATTTATTTACCTGCCAAAAAACTGTACCATCAGCAATCACCAATCAGTGATCCTAACAAGTTAAAGTACCAAGTGTAAGATGATATCTACCTAAACACATTAACTCACAAATCAACTAAGGAAATAACAGATAAAAAACTGTTTGCCAAAAATGCAAATCTTAAAGATCCAACCTGTCCAACTACTATATGACAGAAGAGTAAGAGATGAAAGAAAAGGAACTAAGGACTACCAGTGTAACACGTCCAAGGGCACTTTTGTTTCCTTGACTGACACCAACCATTTCACAATCCATGGCTACTTCATCTGTCACACTGTCAAATGGTTTATAAGTTAGGTGATATGACCAATTGAAGCTGTTAAGGGGGAAAGTTACTTACACAACATCTTACACATGGAAAAATGCTTAGAAGATGTGCATTCAAACAATTTTTACCAATAAACAAATGTTCACAAAAATGGAGTTCATTACATGTTACCATGATATTGATTGATACCAAAACTAGAAAGCATAACTTTCAAGGTCTTTCTGGAAGTTTTATGAAGATTTTCTTGTAGAAAATTAAACGGGCGAGTGGGAAGACAAATTCTAATAATCATGATTCACACACATATCATGGTCAAGCATTACTCTAATGGATACAATTGCATTACTGAATTCTCAAGTTTAAGTGCCTAACTACTAAAAATTCTTGTAAACTTGGTCTCCATTAATTTGAAGCCATCAGGGTTTCCCTACACCTAAGTCATGAGATAGAACAATTTGAAACAATTAATCTCTTTTCTTCCTACCCTTTATTTTTCTCGTAGTTTAGTTCCCATAGCCAAAGAGAAGAACAATTCGCCTCAACTAAACCAATAGGCTCAAGAGTCTTAAAATCCACATTTAAACAAAACCCATACGACCAAACAAAAAAGAAAAAGAAGCTGAAATTTCTTTTCTTTTCTTTTCCTGCATTCCCTCATCAACCCAACAGAGCAACAAACAACAATATCTCCCAAAAAATCACCTGCAATCATCATTAACAGGAGTGAGAGGATTGACATGAGATAGAGAATCATCCAACTCTGCATCCGTTCTCTCTTTCCGCTTCCCTGTGAATAAAAATCTCAATAAAAAACCTTTGCTTTATGCTCTTTTAAACTCAAACCCAACAAAAAGAAAGGTGCTTTCACCTATATAAATTCTAAGCAAGCCAAGTAGTGGCTGAAGGAAAACAAAGATGTCTGTGCTGTTTACCTAAGATGGTTGCTGGGGTTTCTGTTGCTGGAGGTTTAGGGCCATGGCTCTTCAGCTTTTGTTGGAGTTGAGCCCAGTTGGGGTTTATCTGCACCTGCTGATTAGGGTTCTTCATCTTCTTTCTTCGTCTGCCGGGAAACACAAATGCGATAAAAGAGTATATTCACTGTGCTAAGGTGTCACGACTCACGGGGGCGTCTGATCCCATTAAAACGACGACATCCCGTTTTTGTTGTCTTCTTTCTATAGCCTATAGCATAAGTGGCAGAGAAAAACCCTTTTTCCTTTTTAAAAAAAATTTCAATAGCCTTTTTTTCCATCTAGTTTTTTTTTTCTTTTTCATAAATATTTCATTCATGAGATTTGAACTTAATAAACAAAACTAATGTTAAATTTCACTAAATCAAATTATTACCAATTAAATGGAATTTAGTTATTTAGTTAGAATATGAGGTTGTTTTTTATTTTTATTTTATTTCATGGATGCCCTTTTTTTTATCTTCGTCACACTAAAAGCGAAAAAACTTGCCTGCACTCCAATCGCAACCCGCCATGTGTCTAACTTTGTCAGAAAATGAACAAGTGGCGGGCTGCGATTGGAGGGGGATAGGACTGTAGTCCTATCCCCGGTGCAGGCAAGTGTTTCTCCACTAAAAGGGATCATACTTTTATCATAATCTTTTAACTCATTTCTCTACCAGCCCTTACCACTTCATTAATAAGCTAACTGAATGATTAACAACGAACTTTTAGAAATCCTCATCCTAGATAACTGTTTTTTTTATACAACCAATATGGAGAGGGGTGAATCGAACCTAAGACCATCTCCAACCATGTTGAGGCTAAACTCAAATTTCCACACTTCAAAATACAATTATTCATGTATTTTCAGGACTCAAATTTTTTTTTTCATCCACCCTTGCAAACTCATAATTTGAGTCCACAACTTTATTAAATTGTTTAAGAATGATTCATCCATAATTTTTTTTTGTCATTAATTTTTCTTGATATTTTTTTTGTTTCAACATTCATGATTTAATTTTGTGAACATTTTAACCTAAAAAAATTAGGGAGCTTTAGTTTTAAACCACAATATAGTTTACTAATTTGGAAGATAGAAATACAATTTCATCTAATTAGCATAAGGCCAAAGACCAAAATGTGGTACCTAATTTACAAAAATATCATTAAAAAATATCAAAATTACACACAATGCCACTCCTTCTAAGGCAAGCATACTATGCCACATGTCCACATCCAGCCAACCACCACCGCCNNGCTCACTCACAAACCACTACACCAAACTTGATTTTGTAATATTTATTCAATTAAACAATATTTATATAAACGATCAACGGTTTTAAAAATTAAAAAAAAATCATTTCACCACATATTCACACAAAAACTGCAACAAAAATACAATGCAGATATCAATTATATATATATATATAATTAATTTAATAGAAGCAAAATGGAGGAACCGAGATGAAAGTACTAAAATGGAAACTGCGATGCAGAAACAGAAACTGCGATGCAGAAACAGAAGGCATTTGCTGACAGAAGGCTTACCATGGTCGCCAGATTGGCTGGAACATTTTCCTCTTGCATTCGTTTACAGGCAATTGCCTCATTAAAGAAGCCATTTTGTCCATAAGCACCAATCATAGTATTCCAAGAAACTACACTCTTCTCAACTATCTCCTCAAACAAGTGCTCTGCCGCCTCCAAATCTGCACATTTAGCATACATTGAGGTAAGAGCATTCTTCACATGAGAATCTGAATCAAGGCCCGCCTTAATTCCAAACCCATGAATAGATTTCCCTTGAGAAACTAACTCTTGTCCACTTGTTTCACCTACATTCATGACACTCTTTTCCGTACATAACCAGCACTGTTCTACAAAACAACCTAAAACCTTCATCCTGGTACCTGCAGAAAATAAGATCCCGCCAAACTCTTTCTGTATTCTCCACCACAGTCGCATTCCAATATCTACATTACCAAAGGCACCAAATCAAAGCAATTAGCAATGCATATAAGAAAACAATAAAACTCACAGAATCCCAATCAATGAAGCTATAAACTGAGAAGAACCCATTAATTAAAAGCTCAAATCAAAACTAACCTGTCTTCCTCGGGAATATCCGAATGTGTTAGCTTAACAACAGTGAGCCAGGTTCAGGCTCTTCGAGTAAAAATTCAAACGAAACACACTCAGTCCACAAATCACAAAACCAAATAAAATCAACCAAAAATACGTTCAACCAAAAGCAAAACTTCACACACCGTTAATCAATCCCATCAAGCCAGCTCCCAAATCTCCACTTCTGCAGAATCAAAATCCCATTCTGCAACTCCAAATTGGTAATCATCACGACCCATAAAAAATAGTATACTAATCTGCCCTATGTTGGGTTTATTCATCATATGTTGTGAACATTGACTCGACTAAATAAAAAACATGGAGCAGCTCCTCACAAGTGTAAGGGATTATCAGAGAATCATTTGAAATGCATACTTAAACAATTTTATAAGGGTCATAGTAACAGAGTCATTTTATCGAACAGCTAGTAGGCGAGCTTTTTTACATGGATTAAATTGGAAACACAAGATCCCATACTAAAAAAATCAGTCACTGAACCATCAAATATTAGACATATATGCTTTTAAATTAAAAAAGTAGATTGAATTGAAACTGTTACTCCTACCTGGAAGATCAAAGACTAAGCCACCGAACCATCGAAGACTTCAAATGCAAAATGCTCATAGCTTCTCAAGCCTCTGCAACTGCATTGAACTACGCCTTTGGTCCTTGAGATTGTGGTTAACACCATGGAGAGCGCAAAAAAAAACCATTCGAAATTTGGCGGAAAAAGAGCCAAAAATATTTGGACCATTTCTCGATTTATGCGTGTCATCCTTGCGCAGGAAACAGCAGCAGCTGAGGTAGGAGGAAGGTCGGAGCTGGCTTGGGGTGCGACGCCAGTCAAAACTTGACCAGTCCGGTGGCTGGGTGGCCGACGTGCCAGTGGCTGGGGGGTTTTGTCGGTGTCGGTCGAAACAGAGGGGAGGAGAATGGGAGAAGACGCGGGGAGAGAGAGAGAGAGAGAGAGAGAGATATATATATATATAAGAAACTAACGAATTTGGGTTAGGTTTTTAAATGAAAAGGGTATAATTGTCTTTTTAAGGACTAATGTAAGATGGGTCAATAAATCTGGTCTTCCTTTTTGGCCTAATCCAAAATAACAATTCTTTTCTAGGTATTAAAACCCAAACCAAAATATCAAATGTCTTAAATACTAATAAGTAAAGTTATCTATGTCTAATACCTAATTTTCCTAAAAATTAAAATTCCAAAGCATAATAGAATTTCACTTAAAAATAAAAACAAGTACAACCAAGCTTTTGCAATAAATAAAGAAACCACCCAACTTTTTTCAGTCGTTAGATTCCAACGTCCTCTCCTGAAGCTGCCATGTGTCGCGCAAAAGGGCTGCTAGCCAGACAGCTTTGCTGTCACGCGAGGCTCACCTCTTTTTCCTCTTCACATGGGCTGCAAAATAGAGCTTTGGGCTCCACACAAATTACCACTCTAGGCAAAACTTGAACTGGAATTCCACCCCAATTTTCACCTTTCTCAAATTTCCACCCTCTAAAATACAAGGGTTGGAGAAGAATTTTGGGCTCAAAAATGAAAATTTGGGTTTCCACCCCAATGGTTAGAGATGGTCTAAAAACCTCAAGTGCAAGGATAAATACCCTTACTCACTACAAGCCCCTTGTCACCCTATTTAACCATAACCAAAGTTTGTTGCTTTCAAGTCGATCTCAACTTCATCATTATGCAAAAAGCTTATAGTTTAAGTATTTAAAAATATTCACGCATGCTATTGATATTCTAGGTTGATTTATCTCTTTTCAATATGGTTTGTATCTAAAATAAAATAAAAATCAATATTCCGACTTTAAAAAATCCTTCTAAGGTAGTATCGAGTTCTCTAAACAATTGGACAAGAGAAAAGTAGAGATTCCATAGCCATGTATTCCTCTATTTTATGATATTCTTGACAATGATATGTACTTTGACTCACACCACCCAACCTGCCATAAAAATGAGTATTATGCTTTTGGGGAACAATATTTAGTTTTTCTTTCTTTCTTCTTTTAGAACAACAAAATGTAGCTTTATAGGAATAATAAAAAATGGAATAAATTTCTTTCCTGCCAAAATTAAAACAATTGATCGGGTTATTTCAAAGAGAAATAAATAAAATATATCAATCTACAGCCCTACTTCCATGCTCGATTTTACAAAAAAAATATATATACAATGCAATGTGAAAATATAGCAAGTTTGAGAAAGTTATTGGAGCTATGGCTACTTTGATGCCACTTTGGGAGCATCTTGTCTTGCACAGATGCAATGACAAAGACAAGGAGGCTATTGGTGCATAATATGACTAGCGATTTTTATGAGATGAATCATAATTCTCAAAATAATCAAATCCCATTAAAACAAACAAAAATAAAAGAGAAGAAAAGTAATGAAGGAAGATAATAAACTCAATGGCATTGAAGCAAGTGAGAATATGGTTTTGTTAGATTGTGTAGTTGCATTTAGAAGGATTTTAGGGTTAAATGGGATGCTGAATAAATTTGTTTATTTCTCAATCTATCTTCTAAAAATCTTTCTAAGAAGCTTCATTCCATTCAAATATTTGGTTAGTTTTGAGATAATTTATCATAATCATAACTCATTTTCTCATCCAGTGTCTTCACTTAAACCTAACTCAAATAGGTTACATAATCTATAGTCTTGCTATTATGATATCAAAGTTTTAGAATATGAGGTGTGATGAAAAATGTTTCATTTTTTTATATAGTATAAACGATGGCCTAAATTAGAGGGAAGAAAGATTTATTTCGCATACACACACAAATGATGGTATAGAGGTTCGAACATGAGATCTCTGGTTAGTAAATAAATGCCCTTTTTTTCATTGAATTAGACCCGTTGACATGAAAAATGTTTCATATGTTACGTACTTTCGACCAAAAATGTTATATACTTTGGCATGTGATTTATTTATATTTAAATATATGGTCTAAAGTAAGAGCCTAATTATGGACTAGAGTGTCTGGATGAGACGGACCAGGAGGCTTAAATAGACAGAAACTGAAAAATACCAGGTACACTCTCACACCCAGTAGGTTTGAAGTGCAAGGGGCAAAGGCAAAGCAGCAGCAGCTGCAGCAGCTATATATACTCAGACAAAGCCTTTCTAATCCCTAGCTTTCTTCTTCTTTCTCTCTGTCTCGTCTTGAAACATCAATCGAAAATGGGAAGAGGAAAGTTCAAGGGCAAGCCCACCGGTCACCGCCACTTCTCCACCCACGAAGAGATGGGTAATCTCTCTCTATCTATTTCTCTCTATTTGTCAAATCTGATTCAAATTTATATATGTATATGTATATGCGTATGTATATGTATGTATGCATGCGTTGCGCAGGGTCTCAGTTGTTTGCGCTTATCTAGATCTAGATAAGTTTGTGCAAGTTTTAGGCATTTCTGGTTTAGAAATTTTAGCTGTCAATCTGAATTTTTTCATCAAATTTTGTTCTTTGAAGATATTTCATTGACTGCGTTGGAATGTTGGTTATGTTCGTATTGATTCACCTTAAGTTTGGACCAGTAAATTGGATGACCTCTGTAAGAACACAAAAAGGAAAACTTGTTAAAAATGGTTGATTCTTTTGGATTGAAATTTGGACTGTATCTGTTGGGTATAGAATTCAATTTAACTAAGCTTTAATTCCTAATAGGGTGTACGTGAGTCCCTTTTGACCCCTTACGCTGTGAAAACATTCTCAGTCAATTAAATTTGCATTTCATCACTACTTTTGCTTCAAAAGACCATGATGTTCGTGTGGATGATTTGAAATATACTCTGTATTAAGGAGCATATGAAGTGTAATTGTTGATTGTACGTTTCATTATATGTCAGGCTAGGAAAGAATATTTCCCTCAACTCCTTTTTTTATACATCATGGTTTCTTGGGATGGCTTTATTGGTTAATATGATAATAAATTTAAGGTTGTTGTCTATCATACTTGAGTAGTTATTGACGGGTTTATCAGTTGTATTCTATATTACTGTCTGAAGTTAACAATTTGTGATCTTGTATATTTGGGTGATGGTTAAATAACATTGCTTTTGCTTAAGTGTCAGACAGTTTTCTTATTTTCAAATACTATTGATAATTGGTAAACTTGTTTCAAATGCTTTTGTACTTTCATCTGCTATTAGCTGACTTTATTTTCCTTTGTGTCTATACTTCAAATGGTTGCAGTTGCTGGTACCTCTGCTCGTCCACGTAGTTTTAAAAGGGTAATAATTTGTCCTTTGTTCCTAAGTATTACACTTTTCTCATATATTTTAGTTGAAGACACTGCACTTTCCATGATGCAGTCATGATTGTCAAATATAGAGGTGATGGTTTCTATAGGATTTTCTTATAGTATTTTGTTTGAAAATACATACACACACAGATGCAGGCAATGGGTACATGACATTGGCATGTTGAACTAATGCACTGGATGCATCCATATTGATGTAATCATATTGCAAATTCTTCATTGTATCCACAAGAAATGATCTTAGCAGAAGTTGCAGAACCAGGATGTTCTGTAACCAAAACTTTCTGGCTAATAGGAATCATATGAAGCATGGCCGAACCACAATGCATCTGTCTTGGATGACTCTAAGCATTACATGATTTCGAGGGTTACTACGTGAAACAAAGGTTTGTTTTCCCTGTAGAGCATGTCTCCTTTAGGAAGTTTATGGACTTGCTGCAGTACTCCAAGGAGTAGCTTTTGCCTTCTACGAAAAACCCACACTCAACCCATCTGCCCAAACATCATAATAAAAATGTTCTTAATATGAATCTCTTGAAAAGAATTCCTAATATGAATTGCTCAAAGAGTAGCTTATGTGTTATAGTTTTCCTACTTTTCGTGTCGAGCTGTCAACAGTCAACAGGCTCTCTTGATTTTGCTTCCATTGTAGGCTAGCATTGGGGAGTAGGACTTTTGATCCACTGAAACACACACATTAATTCCTCAAGAATGATATGACAGGCCGTGAATGTAGGAAACTATTAAAGAGCATAAAGTTTTCAAGTATGAGATAGTATTTTGAAAGAGGCAAATCAATATAATCATTGTTGGATATTGTCTGAAATAACGTGATTATTGAAGGCAGAAAATTACTCTATTGTCATTGAAATAATCTTTTTTAATGTATGAGGAGACTTTATGGTTTGTTGATTTTATCCCCTTCTGTTGCTATGAATTTAAGTTTTTGGTGGTGCTTCTGTATATAAATGTCATATTTATTTAATATTATCAGGAAGAAGCTGAAGAGGAGGAAGAAGTAGAGTCTGAAGAGGAATCATCAGAAGAAGAAGAATCTGAAGTCAGTATACTCATTGGTGCTTTATTGCTATTCCATTATTCATCTGGTAGCATTTGCATTTCTTATGATTCCAACTTACTGAAATTGTGGCCATATGTTAACAGAAGCGGAAAGGCACTCAGGGAATCATCGAAATTGAGAATCCCAATCTAGTAAAACCAAAGAATGTGAAGGCTAAAAATGTCGATGTAAGCTCGTGACCATATTTTATATTTACTTGAAGTAATAACTCAATCATCATAATTGTTTGGTGTTATTCTTTTTGTAGATTGAGAAAACTTCGGAGCTCTCAAGGCGTGAAAGGTATGCATTGCTCCTTGCCTCTTGTGCATTCAATATCTGGAGGCCAAGTTCTGTAGCAAGCGTTCTATGAAACAAAATCTGCTTCCTCATTGATGATGCTTGTATCTTATTTTTCTTTTGTTTTTCCAGAAATATGTTATTATTCTCTAAAATCAAAACTGTCCGATTGGGTATCAGGCTTTAATAGTAGCATCTGGTTCTATCTATAAGCACCAGAAGGTCCTACATACTATAGGATGACCCTTTTTTGTTCCTGGCAGTTCCTTGTTTTAATTTACATATGTCATACCACAGACTATTTTCACTGTCCTTTTGGTTTTGGTTTTCATTTGTTGGAACGTTACACTTGAGGAAAGACTTTGAAAAATAAGTGAAACTATTGGTGGTATGGGTGGTGGAGTTGGCTGTGAATTGCTATAAGATTTGGCTATGTTTAGCTTCTGAAATTGGTCTAAGTTTGAGGGTCTGATTGTTAAACAAGGAGAACCAATTGTCCAACAGTTCTTATTAATTGATTCGGGTAACTGTACCTTTTTGCATTTTATGCAACTGAACTTTATTTCGCCACTTTGTTGTGAGTGTTCCTGACAATGGGGGCAAGTGGGATACATATTTGTCAAACTGAAGGCATATCATAGAGGGGTAAATCATAATTTTCTTCTAGGATTCTTTTCACCAGCAGCATTCGTGAACTACTAATAATTTTTTGTCAAAAGTTATGTTTTGTTGAAAAGATTTAGTTTTTTATCAGAGACGGGTTTGCATAAATTCCAGCTGAATATATTATTTAGGATTGTTCAGGACAATTAAATTTCTTTTTCATTTTTAAGAATTGAAATATGCCTGTAATATTCTGCCTCATGCTCTGGCATTCTGTTTTTCATCTTATGAAGATTGAAACTTTCAATGTGTAACTTTGATCATAGCGGGTGCTGAATGTCATTCGCATAGGTCTATGCTTCCAAATAGTACTTGTGATGGTTGAACCTCCAAGAGATACAAATTTTTTAGTTACAGTTTCTTAGATTTCTATATAATTGATTTGCAAAGGCTTATGATCAATATTTTCGAATTGGTTGTTCTTGGAGCCAAATATTTGAGTGATCAAAGCTTAATTAGTGTGTCAACTTAATTCTATCTGTTTGCAGAGAGGAGATAGAGAAGCAAAAGGCTCATGAGCGGTACATGAGGTTGCAGGAACAGGGAAAAACGGAACAAGCAAAAAAAGATTTAGGTAATATTGGAAACTGATAAATTCTAGCTCCATTTTTTAGCAGTTTATTGAAATTACATTAGGCGTGTAATAATATGCTAACTAAATTTTCTCAATTAGTATACACAGAACATGGGTTCATATATTTTTGCTTAAGACTATCATATTTTGTTGTCTTTATATTTCATTGCTGATATGTGGCTCCACTTATTGGTGGCTACAAACTAGATGTATGTTGTGTCTAAAGTTGAGTAAAAATTAGTTGGAGAGAATGTTATGTCTGCATCTCTTGCTTTTTAATATATTCAACATTCCTTGATTTCTGTAACAGTGATACAGTAGAATTGTGTGCAATCAAGTTGTATAGACCAATTATAGACTTGTCCAGGCCATCCATGGTTCTTCCTGAATAGATTTTTCAACTGAGGTGGTGAGATATTGCTTGTCCAAGTATTAGAGGATTATATTGGATATTAGCTAGACATTTAGCAAGACAAAAGAATTTGGATTGGAACTTTATAAGGGGTTTGGGATTTTTGTCTACTTTGTTGCTCAGTTGGTGTAGTTTGGTGGTGGTGAGTATGGATCTGATCATGTAGCCATGCTTGGTTCTAAATGTCTTTCGATGGATTGGAACTTGACTATTCTTTTGATCACCTCTGAACATCATCTCTATTTCACTGTTTCATTCTTCTATTTAAATTGTTCTTGCAGAACGCTTAGCCCTGATTCGCCAACAAAGGGCAGAAGCCGCTAAGAAGCGAGAAGAAGAAAAGGCTGGTATGTAGCCCAAACTGTGTTCCCCTTTGTGATACACCTGCTCTGCCTCACCTGTTTTCTTTGTTCAAGGCTGGAATAGTGCTATCTAAATCTTGATGATCCTCTTTTTGCCCTCTGTACTGATAGTGATCTATGATTTTCTCAGCCAGGGACCAGAAAAAAGGCGAGGGACGCAAGTGAAATAAGTTATGGAGAAGCCCAGTAGATTCACTTGGGCTGCTTATTTTTAATGTTTGACCTTCTTATATGTATTATCTGTATCCCAATCTAGCTTAAGTTACCAAAGTTTTTGCTTTCTTATTTGACATGACTACTGTATTTATAAACTGTCAGTTTGTTTCGGTGTTAATTAAAACATGGTGTGGGGGAGAAAACATCTCTTGGTCATTGAAACTAGAAGTTTTAATAATCTCAATATAGAGTTTGGTTGAGGTTGACATGAGGATGCATAGAGTATCCTTTGTGTGCATTTCTTGTTCAACTCACTTTTCCCTGTATAATTTGCGTAGTAGTTGTTTTGGTGAGCGGCTCAAACGAACTTACAGTTTCAGGCACCCAGGGTTTCTCTTTTCGGACAAACAAAAGGATATTGACAACATGTTTTGGGTTAATCGTTTTATTAGTCCCTGAATTTAGACATGATTTGCATTTGAGTCCCTTAATTTTTAAAATCATTCCTGTGTTCCTTTAATTTAATAGAAAAGTTGATATAGATCCAAATTCTCATCTAGAAGTTGGGTTTAATCCTCGGATTTGGTGACTTTGATACAAGTCCTTTGACTTTTGTGCCACATAGGATTACATTCCTTTTTGAATATTGTCTGATGTAATCTTTTTATTTTATATATTTAAAATCATTTTTTGTTCCAATATTGCCCATTATCTTAGATTACTTACCTTAATGAGATAATTAGCCAATATTATATTTCTTTCCTCATCCAACAACTCTTAATGAGGTAATCTTATTATTATTATTTTATGTTGAATATATGCTCAACTTTTAATCAGGTTCAGTTATTTTGTTCTTTTTAGTTGTTCTTTTATGTATAGTATACCAGAGACATAGGTACGTAATACATTTTTTGATATATTTTTCTTCATATATATATCTAAATTATAGGTAACATATTCCTTTAACAAAAAAAAAAGTTATTAATTGACTTGTGTTTTGACATACATGAGATATAGGTACCACACTTTTTTGCCTTTTTGTTTATGAATCTAAGTTATAGGTAACATACGATTTACCATTTATCTTTTTTATGTACCGGAGATATAGGTAGTTTTCTATTTTTTTATCTGACTTATAGGTAGTTTTCTAATTTATGTTCCTAACTTATAGGTAACATGATTTATCACTAAGTATTTTTCTGTGAAGACCCGTATTTTAAAATGATAAAAGAAGATATTTATCATTTGGATAAACTTGGACGATATTATCTTTTTAAGATATTTATCATTTGGATAAATTTGGATGATATTATCTTTTTAAGATATTTATCTTTTGGATAAACTTGGATGATCTTATCTTGTTAGGATATTTATCTTTTGGATAAACTTCGATGTTCTTATCCTTTTAATATTGAAGTTTATCCTATCCCTATAACCACTATAAATAGGAGCAAGGAGATTTGGGGCTTAGCTCGTATTTTCTTAACTTGGAGCAATGCTTTGGAATCGAGGTAGGGATTTCTTGGGGTGCCTTTACGGGGATTGATGTAATTAAATTTCGTGAGCACTATATTATGCATGATATTATTATTTGATTATTATTGATACTGGGTGTTTAAGTGTTGTTTATTATCATGGTCATACGTTATCGGTGATGGTTGGAATTCTTTTTAACTTCACTTTCATTAGGACAAATGGTCCAGCCATCACTTTTGTTAACTTTTTCTGTTAAATACAGGGGCAAAATGGTATTTTTATATTAAAATAAAAAAATTAATGAAAAATCATATCTTTAAAATAACATTAAAATCAAATCAAATAAAAAACCAATAAAAAAAATCAAGTTTGGGGAGAGTAAAGGGCTAGTTTGGCATTGCTGTGCTTTAAAAAAAAACTGTTTTTGCTGTGCTGCGAAAATAATCAGTTGTGAAAAAAGACAGCTAGGCATTTGGTAAACTGGTTTTAAAAAAGAGCTGTTAGTAGTTAAAGTGTTTGGTAAATTTTTATCAAAATGCTTTTAATGTGTATAATGATTGAAAAAGGCATGATGATGAATCTGTCTGTTTTTTTCTTCTTTCTTTTTCTACTTTTGAAAAAAAAAAAAAAAAAAAAAACCCAACTTCACTACATCAATTTTTTTTTATTTACACTTTTTTTATAAAAAAAAAATTAATCTACAATTAGCACACATATTTTGCCATAAATTATAAATTACTATTATAACAACTTGCCTTGTGTATGTGAATAATGAGAATATTGGATTTTGTTTTGCTGAGGAAGCTGGGGTGGGATTTTCATTGGCTGGAGATAACGAGGTGGGGAAGCTGGTGATTGGATTTTTTGTGGTTGGAGTGAGGAAGAAGAAGAATTGATATGCACAGAGAGAGGAAGAAGAACCCCACCCGACCCCGATATCACCACACCCAACCCCTTCCTCCACGCCAGCCCCACAAGATGAACCCCACCCCACCTAACCCAACCACAACCCTTGTTCATGTTTTCTTCTATGCATTTGTGGAGTGAGGAAGAAGAAGAGAGAAGAATTGAAGTTTTCTTAGATCCCAAATCTAGGGTTTTTCAATCAAATTCAAATTTTTTTGCAGCTCATTTGTGTTTTCTGTTAAATCATAAGTGTGCGGTGATGAGACTACTTGTGGCCTAGAGTTTATGATCTGGGTTCTTCTCCCAAAAGTCTAATCTATTCAAAAAAAGGAAGAAGAAGAATTGTCATTTTGGAAAAGTCGTGAGAGCGTTATGGGAAAAATGAAAATTTCATTAAAAGGACGAGTTGTTTTTTTTTTTAAAGCAGCTTCTCAAAGCTGGTCTCAAAGCTGGGTCCAAGCAGCTTTGAGAAACTGCTGTGGATGACCCTAGTTTTTAAAATAAGGTGGCTTTCTTTGGTTTACCAAACACTTTCACTTGCAAAACTTATTTCTAAAGCGGCTTATTTTTTAATCACCACAATCCCAAATGCAGCCTAAAAATCGGGATAGAGGGGGAGAGAGAGAGTTTAATTTTAATTGTTTATTCATATTTTAATCAATTTAATACAAAAATACCATTTTGCCCTTGCATTTAATAGAAAAGCTAACAAAATTAACGGCAAGACCATTTGTCCTAATGAAACTGAAGTTGAAGGACCACGGGAACGATTTTGGAAATTGAGGGACTTAAATGCAAATCGGGTCTAAATTTAAGGACTAATAAAACGATTAACCCATATGTTTTTACAACATGCCATCAAGGCAACACCACAATAATAGGCCTACCCATAGCTGGGTATCAGATCCATCATAAATATATATTGTTCTCGCCATCTATGTGCGGAGAACTTGAAACTTCCTCTAATCAAATGAAGACAAATACCACTAGATCAAGGGCTAGTCGATGACATACAATGCTTCTTTTAGCTCTACAAGTTGGTGTCTTGATACCCATCTCTCTCCCATGTTTAGCTAAACCCTCTTCCTTTCTTTTTCTTTTAGGGGCCATTTGATTCATGGGAAAGGAGGCTTGGGAATGAGAATTCAATTGCTTTCCCATGTTTGGGAAGTCCGGGCATGGGAAACGGATTCCTGGCACATGAGAAAGTATGGGGGAAAGTGAAGCCCCCCTCTTAACTTGGGTTTTGTTTTCCCTCTTCATGGGAAAGTTTGGGAAAATGAGCCAACATTCAACGCACAATTTTCATGACTATTTTGTCCCTATGAACAATTTATAATTACAATGTATCATTAAATGCATTCTTTTTTTATTTGATTTAATATGGGTATAATTGGAAAATTATACAAATTTAGTTTTCCATTCCTACTCAAAACAAACATGGGAAAGGAAAAAAAGTGAAATCTCCCGGTTACTTTCCCAACATTACCAAACGTGGGAAAGGAATCTTTCATTCCCATTACTTGGGAAATGACATGGGAATTGATTTCCCCTCAAATCCATTCCGTGAACCAAACGGGGCCTATATCTACCTCAATCTCAACCAAAATCCACTTGAGCCAATAAGTAGCATTGGTCCAACAGCTTTCGATTTCTAAACGAATAAAAGAACAAAGAATCTATGAAGTTTCAGATATGATTGAAATGGCAATGTAGCAAGTTGTGGACGGTGGGTTTTTGATTGGGAGCGTATCTGTTGATCGTCCATTTGAGGTTATAGAAAGTGAAAGAATCTGGTCTTAAACCGCTGTTTAAGCAAATTACAAGCTGGAGAAAGAAGAAGGAAGATACCTTTGATGCTTGATTTGGTTTGTTTACATCAATTGGGCGGCTACATGATCCACAGACCTTTTAAATTCTTTATCTTTATGCATGAATGTTTCTCAAATTTGGAATGTTCTTTGTGCTTTGCTTTTGTCCATGCTCAAGTTTTCTGTAATCAACTTCTTGTTTTGACAACTTCAGGCATTTTCACTAAATTATAAAGTGAGATCTGCAATCTTAAATACATCATTAGCAGCCTCATGAGAGAATTACATTCAACCCCTCTACACGTTGTGGAGAAGTTATCCCTTCTCACACTTACTAAACAAGTAGTCTAAACCTTAAGGGGAACGCTGTTGACCAAAAACAATCTTGTAGCTTTCTTTTTTCATTTTGTTAATCGGATTGGAGGAACCGAACTTTGGACATTTTCCAACATCAAGAAGAGAAATATCATTAGATCAAATAAGCTCGCAGTCGACGTCGTAGTTACAACTTGATTTTGGGTAACAAAAGGACAACTCCACTCCACCATAATTTTGGATCCAAGAGTCATTTATCAATGCATAGCCCCTGACTTTAAACAATTGTAGATGAGACCTGTTTTCTTTTTTCCAAATATTATTTGCCTCAACTATTTTAAAAACTCTCAAATGGCAAAAGAAATCAACACATAGAGATTTATATTTTGTTGGGGTCCAACATGCACGTAAGAATTGAATAATTAGGTTTAGTTAATTGTATATATGAATTTTTTTCATGAACGACAATAGGGCAGCTAAACATCAGCTTTTGTATCTAGACTCTTTGATAAGTAATGGATGCAATTTAAGTTGCCTAAATTTTGGTTAAAAAAATTGAAAATTGGAAAGGTTTGGGCTGCGCGGCATCCTAAAGAAAAAAGAAAAGAAAACAGAGGAATTATAGTGTTTTGAAGTTAGAAGAATAATAAAATAAAAATAAACATTAGGTCAATTGACAACTTGATTTTGGGTAACAAAAGGACAACTCCACTCCACCATAATTTTGGATCCAAGAGTCATTTATCAATGCATAGCCCCTGACTTTAAACAATTGTAGATGAGACCTGTTTTCTTTTTTCCAAATATTATTTGCCTCAACTATTTTAAAAACTCTCAAATGGCAAAAGAAATCAACACATAGAGATTTATATTTTGTTGGGGTCCAACATGCACGTAAGAATTGAATAATTAGGTTTAGTTAATTGTATATATGAATTTTTTTCATGAACGACAATAGGGCAGCTAAACATCAGCTTTTGTATCTAGACTCTTTGATAAGTAATGGATGCAATTTAAGTATGCCTAAATTTTGGTTAAAAAAATGGGAAGGTTTGGGCTGCGCGGCATCCTAAAGAAAAAAGAAAAGAAAACAGAGGAATTATAGTGTTTTGAAGTAAGAAGAATAATAAAATAAAAATAAACATTAGGTCAATTGATTAAGATGGTGTATCCACCATTGGTGGACCCATGAATTTTTTAGCGAAGGTGCAATCTTGACCAGGATAAAAATAAAAAAAAATAAAAAAAACAAGCGCAGTGCAGGTGTATCCGCCATTGGTGGACCCATGAATTTTTTAGCGAAGGTGCAATCTTGACCAGGATAAAAATAAAAAAAAATAAAAAAAACAAGCGCAGTGCAACAGCAGACTGACTTCGTTTAGGCTTTTTGTTGAACACCTAGAGTGCACCTCCCAGGTTGAGTACATGTGCAATATGCAACACCTATAATGACTTTTTCGACGAGGGAAGATGCAGCTACACCTCCTTACATCTTAATAATTCCGCCACTAGTACCTGCCCCTTTGCACACGAGTTCGATCTTCTTCCATATACATTAGAGTAGTCAAATATTTTGTACCAAAAAAAAAAGGAAGGCATAACTTAGTTGAGTATAATAATTGGAAAGAAAAAAGGAAAAAGATGGCATGAAGATTATCCTTTCTTGTGGTTCATTTATCACCAGTTGATTAAAATGGAAAGGAAAAAGGTGCCAATAAGTATCATTCTTTCTCCAGCAATATACAGAAAGAAAAGAAAGAAGATTAAATACTCAATTGGCCCACCACAAACTCCATCCTATTTTTTTTTTGGTGAGAAGAGAATGGACCACATTGACAAAAGCCAAAACTTTATCCCTATAATAGGAAGAAATGTAATTTACAACTCTAAATGTGAGGAATATACTTTTGGCATTTTGAATTTTCAGTTTATGTTTTCTTATACTCTTCGCAGTACTTTTGGGTGATGTGGATTGTTGACATTAACTCTTATGCCAATTAGTCCTTTTTTTTCTTCTTTCAATACAGTCCTAAAAAATAATTTCTTATTACGACTTTATTTGGTATATAATTTTACTAATTTTTCAGGAATTTCTAAAAGTTATAATTGAATACAAAAATACTTTTATAGGATTTTTAAAATTTTAATAAAATAGCCAACGAGGCTTAACTAGGTGAAAAGGGGCATTGACTTGCACACCAATGGTCTCAGATTTGAACCCCCATGACACCTTGACAATGTTTATGTGGGAGAAGCCCCCTCCCCTAATATCGCTTTTATAAAATAAAAATTCATTCAAATACACTCAAAGTCTAAATTCGAGAAAAATATTTTAAATTCAAATGAATTTAATATTTTTTTTCTTGACAAACTATTAGAATATTTACAAATTACTTACAACAAGCTAATAAATAATAAAATTACACTGTTATAATCGAACTCATTACAGATAAATATCGTCCTCGTCATTCATGTGAGTCGAATCTAAAACCTCCTTCAACAAAGTTGATGCAAATACCGCTAATCCAAAGATCAAACAAATTTCATATTGAAGGAACCTTTTTCGTCTTTTTTTCCCTTTTCTTTTTCTTTGTTATCAGTTTGCATACCATGACAATAACATAAGTTGTTATGAGGTAAGTCAAAAACAGGTATTCCGACCCAAAAACCAGAACGGTGGCTTTTATTAGTGAAGGATGACAAAGAAGAAGCACAACAAAAACGTTTGGCTTTTAGATGTTTAGGTCAACCAGAGTGTACTGTAAATGAGTTTCTAGGAAGTGGGTTTTATTGGCCACCAAAATATTGATAATTTATTTATTTATTTATGTTTAAGATGGACTTAACCTAATGCCACCCTCTAAAGGTCCATCTTAATTCAATGTCATTGATAAAAAAACTAATATCATTCTTTGATGTTTTTTTAAAAATGTCTTTACCACGTGAATTGTTTTTGTTGACATGTGGATATGATTACCATAATTCAATCTCATCATGGTGGTGGTACCTGTCAACTATCCACAACATATATATTTAATTGATTAGAGGGGAAAAAAAAGTAAGAGTTGAACTTTAATCGTAAATGTAAATGAAAACGTTTATATTGTCTTGATGAGTGGCAGATTCAGAATTTGAAAGCCGACTAGACGAAACTTACTTACTAATGCATTTTTATATATAAATAAAAGCTTAACAAAAACAAAAGACACAAATAAATGCAATGCAATATAAAACAACACTATTTAAATCTAAAATTTTACTATACAAGAAGCTTAGAAGTCAATTTTCTTTCATATATGTTAAGTATGTACATTTTTTTTTTCTTCTTAAATTTATTGGCCGGGCGGCTGCCTAGTCGAAAAAGGGCTAGATCCGCCCCTATACACGTGTGGCAGTTATTACCGAAAAAAAAGAAGAGAGAGAACAAAATACAAAGAGATAGTAATGGTAAAAACATGGGTGAATTGTATTATATTAAATTTTGATTATTTAAGAAAGTGTAAACAAAGACATAATCCAAAGTTTACTTTAATTCCAAGATATATCTAATTGAAGTCACAAAATCAATACAAGTAGTTTAATACTGGAGAGATTTTAGTGAAAGTCAAATAATGGAGAGATTTTAGTCTTTTTTTTTACACTTTAATTTCTTTACTTAAAAACAAAGGGTGGAAAATAAACAGGTCAAGCGTGTGTAACTTGCGTGCTGCCTACAAGAAAAAGAAAACAGATATAGGGAAAAGGTCGTTATTGGGCAAGTTCAATTTCGAATTAAAAAAAGTACAAAATAAATCCAACAAGATTTTATTTTGTGTTTGTTTGAAAATAAAAGAATTAATTCTTTACAAAATAAAAATTAATTAGATTTTAAACCTAATTAGCTAATAAAAACAGAACCACCTAAGCATATCAGCTATATTTTCCTCTTCGATAACTGGATATGGAAAAGGGTGACCAACGAAAAACTGGAATTGAAAAAAATAATAATAATAAAAAACAATAAACTTTTTTTCTTTTCGGAAATTAAATTACAAACGGTCAGAATTAGAAACTCAGAGCCGTAAAACCGTGAATAAAATAAATATTCCCTTTCTATTCTGTGTATATAAAAGAAGAACATAGAATTTCAATTTTCTCTCTCTCAATTATATTGAAACACAATTCTGTCTTTCTCTCTCTTTCTCCCTCAGAGACCCTTTTGATCTCGTTGGCTTTGATCGGTTTTCGTTTGGGTGAGTTTTTTTTATGCCAATTTCTCTATATTTTTCACAATCACCTTTTATTTTCTTTAAATTTTCAAGCTTTTGTGGCCGTTAGCGTTCAATTGGAGTTCTAAGGTTTTTTTATCTTTCCGATTACAATTTCGACGATTTCTGTTTGTGTAATCTTGTAATTAAATTAGGATTTTTTTTTTCTTTTGCAGGCACTGTTTGAAGAAATCCGGTTCGTTCTTCGATTATAATCCCTTTGTTTATGACAACTAGGTAAATAATTTTTTACCAATTTTCTTTTAATTTTTAAATTTTTATAATTTGTTTGCTATTGTAATTATTTTTGTTAAAATGACTTGGGTATCTGGTTTTCCTAAAAAATTCAAAGAAACCATTAAAAAAAAATGAAATTTAAATATGCTATTATATAGAAATTGCCCACTTTAAAATGGTATGCAGAAATCCTGGGTAGTTTCTGTAATTCTAACAGTACGTGAATTTATACAGGACCAAGTTTGTTGAAGTTATCGTTTATATGTTTACTTTTGATTGTTGTGTTCTTTTCTATGTTAATATTAGATTGTATGGTATTCTTTGTTTTGTCTTCATGAGGCTTATTAATATACAACCTTTTTTTTATATAATTGTTTTAATTGCCCCCTTTCCATAGACCTTAGAATTTCATAATATTAGTTCTCCTCAGGTATGCGTTTTTCTGTATCTGATTCCAGATATTGCTTTGGAGTGTATAGTTTGTGATGGGGTGAGGATAGAGATCCTAGGTTCACATTATATAATTGTTTTAATTGCCCCCTTTCCATAGACCTTAGAATCTCATAATATTAGTTCTCCTCAGGTATTCGTTTTTCTGTATCTGATTCCAGATATTGCTTTGGAGTGTATAGTTTGTGATGGGGTGAGGATAGAGATCCTAGGTTCACATCTCCATGTAATAAAAAAGAATGTGTAGTTTGCGACCATGAGATCGATGCTACATTTAGGGCCCATTTAGGAATGCTTCTATTGGAAGCATTATGCTCATGCTAGAACTGCTTTTTTTTTTAAACACAAATTTTTTAAATTAAAAATCCAAGTGCTTTCTGAAGAGGGCTGCTCCAGAAAAACTGTAAAAAGTGTCGCTTTTGTAATTTAGACGCACTTTTAAATTTTTCCGGCAACGCTAAAAAGCTATTTTGGTTATCTGAAAGCGGTTTTTGCCCTTCCAAAATCAGTGTTAAACATGCCCTTAATGAGCTTTGGTGGAATGGGGTTCTTTCGAGACGGGGTAATCTTTAATGGGGAATGTTTTGATTTAGTCTGCCAAAAGATTGGAGGTACATGCAGGATTAGTTTGGACAAAGTCATGGACAGGACTTCTTTGTATGGTTTAAGAGAGATGATGTATGAAGGCAATATACGTTGGTATACATTTGGAAGGGTGAGTTTTTTCTCCTAAAGTTCCTCGACCCTTGGAAGGAAGTTCTTTCAAGTGGTGCTTCTATATTTATTTATCACTGTAACATCTGTAACTACATATTTTTGTAGTAAGAGTTTTTAATCAATGAACCTGTCATTCATTCTACTTTTAATATGGGGTGTAGTTGGTACCTTTAAAGGTTACTTATGGTAGAGAGTTGTAAACCGAGAGAAGCAGAAATTATTTTCATCATGTTTAACTGGTGATTCCTGATTCTCATTACCTTTGAAAGATACTGGACAATTGGATTTTCCAGTTTTGTGTCCAAGGCAACCTAAACTGTTTACATTCATCTTGAGGGGGTGGATGGATGGATCCGTTTTCTTTTTCAAGATAGTGTTTGCTGTGCAAGGGTTTCCTTTATGCTTCTTTCCATCCCTGAAGGATTTTGTGGTCAATGTGATCGTGTCATTACAGTTGCATGAAATAGTCTTTTGTTGACTTTCTATGCTGCTTTCTACCTGTTGAGTATCAAATTTCAGTCACCCATATCCTCAGTAATTGACCTTGATTTTGGAAAAATTAATTGGGAAGTTGATGAAATTCTACGGAATCTGTTAGGTGCCTTTTTATTGTGCTATATTTGTGACTAACAGTCACATTGGTTGTGCTTAGTAACACAACTTGAACTTCCTAATCTGGAAGACTTTATAACCCTTTTTTTTATCCGAATATATTATGTCTCTCTCTCTCTCTCTCTCTCTCTCTCTCTCTCTCTCTCTTTAACTCTCTCTCTCTCTCTCTCTCTCTCTCTCTCTCTCTCTCTCTCTCTCTCTCTCTCTCTCTCTCTCTCTCTCTCTCTCTCTCTCTCTCTCTCTCTCTCTCTCTCTCTCTCTCTCTCTCTCTCTCTCTCTCTCTCTCTCTCTCTCTCTCTCTCTCTCTCTCTCTCTCTCTCTCTCTCTCTCTCTCTCTCTCTCTCTCTCTCTCTCTCTCTCTCTCTCTCTCTCTCTCTCTCTCTCTCTCTCTCTCTCTCTCTCTCTCTCTCTCTCTCTCTCTCTCTCTCTCTCTCTCTCTCTCTCTCTCTCTCTCTCTCTCTCTCTCTCTCTCTCTCTCTCTCTCTCTCTCTCTCTCTCTCTCTCTCTCTCTCTCTCTCTCTCTCTCTCTCTCTCTCTCTCTCTCTCTCTCTCTCTCTCTCTCTCTCTCTCTCTCTCTCTCTCTCTCTCTCTCTCTCTCTCTCTCTCTCTCTCTCTCTCTCTCTCTCTCTCTCTCTCTCTCTCTCTCTCTCTCTCTCTCTCTCTCTCTCTCTCTCTCTCTCTCTCTCTCTTTAAATGTTAGTTGGTGACTTTGGTCTATAATCTCCTTACTACTCATGTGACTGATTTTTATAAAAACCTTGGTTGGAGAATAGGTATCACTTGTGACACCAATGGGGCAAAGAAACATGCTATGCCCTAGTCAGATGATTGATTTGGAAATGAATCAACAAGGGGAAGGTTATCTCTGTCCCCCACCCTCCATCCATTTCGGGGGCGCAACCAATATCCATCAACCTAATGTTCACACAATGATAACAGCTTCCGGGACCAGTTTTGATGCCCAACATTTACCTGAGCGCTATGATAATGCTGCGTTCTACGGGATGGCCCAGTACAGTGGTGTTCAGCATCATCATAATCTTGATTTGGGCGTCACAACTCCTTCCAACTATTATTATTCTTACATGACCCCCTCATCGAGTTCTGGGGTGTTACCTGTTCCTCTAAATCATGGGGCTTCTGATCCACTGCCATCTTCTAGCCATTATGGAACCATTGGAGTTTCTGCAGATGAGTATGGCAGGAATAGTCGCATCATGGATGATGTCCGAGGTCCATGCAAGAGGAAAAATCCTGAAGGCCTACCAGGGAATTTCCAATATTTTAATGCCTCTGCAACCTCTAGTTCTTCAGTGCCTCCTTTGAATATAAGGAATCCTGATGGGGTTGCTGTAATGGATGCAGTAACCTTTGCCATGCCTCAGTATGTGGGAACTGGCAATCTACCAATTATGGAAGCAGGACCTCAGAGTAGTATGAGGAATAGGTCATCTACAACTGGGCTTGATTCTTCTATGACACATGACCATAACCATCTGAATCAAGGAAATTATGTGGGTCAGCGCTTTCAGCCAGCTGGAACTCTTTGGTTGGACCAACATTTAACTATCAACAATGGAGATGGAGGTGCTTCAGCCTGGAATCAAGCTCCTAATATTCCTTTTATGCATGGTCAGTACTTGCTTTGTATTTTCTTCCCCTGTAATTGGATTCCTATTTGCATCAATTTAGTTCATTCATGTTAGAAAGGTTGAATAAAGGCTGATCTCTAGAAGCAGTTGCCATCTCTTAAAGTAATGTAGGCCTGCTTTGAATGAAGCTCATGCACATATTTCCTTTTGAGAACTTGCTCTCAATGTCATGTCTATTTCCCATGGAAAATATTTCGGTTACAACTTATGGAGCCTAATTAAGAAACCCAAATGTGTTTTTGATTGGGATCTCTCTCTCTCTCTCTCTCTCTCTCTCTCTCTCACTGTAGGTTCCATGGACAGTGCGAACTTGGGTATTCAAAGATATCATGATTCATCTAGCAACAGAAGTTCCACCATTCTCCGGCATCCTCCTCCGCTCAACCACCGGCATCATAGTCAGCATGTAGTAGCACCACCCATGCAAGGATTAAGAGGCCACAATCTTAATTTTCCTCCCCAGGGAGCCACGACAGCTTCATATAGATTACCCACAAGTTCCTCGCGCAGCACAATGAATCCTTCTCAGAATGGTTTGGAGATTGGTCGTCGGCAACCAGGACTTGTTCCACCAAATGGCTTCAGGATATACAGGCCTCAGCAAGGAGTTACTCCTGAGACAGCTCTAAGACACCAGAACCTTCCCCACTTGAGAGTTCTTCAGGCTGATGTAATCTTTCTCTCTCTCTCTCTCTCTCTCTCTCGTTTGCCTATTATGTGGAGTGGAAGAATATTTTGGCTGAACTGTTTTGGTGCTTTTTTGTAGGAGGGTGTCATAGTAGATGTTCCAAACTTCTATAGCAGCTTTCTTGACCAGCACAGAGACATGCGCTTGGACATAGAGGACATGTCATATGAGGTAAATTAACGAAGTTTGGTTCTTACCTACCTACTTGTTCATATGGATAGATAACTCGATCAGGTAGATAAGAAAAAGATGAAGAGGTGCTTAGATAGATTCTTGAATATTTTTATATTCCTCTTTGTTATTCCGTTATTCCCATGTTTATGCTGCCTCTGCAAAGTTTCAACCTGATATCTCCACTTTCAATTGCAGGAGCTTCTTGCACTGGGGGAGCAAATTGGCCATGTAAGCACTGGATTGTCTGAGGAGAGAATTAAAAAACAACTAAAGACAAGGACTTATTTATCATCTTCTACAAATTTTAATCTGGAAGAAGCTGGATGCTCCGATAAGGAAGCTGATTCTTGCATTATATGTCAGGTACGATAAAACTCTCAGTAAATCACAAAATATTTTTTCGTCTTGACATTCATGTGCAACTGAATATTTAAATATATTGCTGTAGTCACCATTGTTGCGTTTGGGATTTTACAGGATAATTATAAGAAACGTGAGAGGATAGGAACTCTTCATTGTGGACATGAGTATCATGTGGATTGTTTAAAGAAGTGGTTGCTTGTGAAGAATGTGTGCCCCATCTGCAAATCTGAAGCATTGACGACCACCGGGAAGAAGAATGTATAGAAATGGGGTGACAGTTGAATGACAAAGGGCTTCCTTCCTTTGTTATGCTAATTTTCTTTTGTTATGTATTTTTGTATATGCACTCAGCATATATATATAAATATACTGACCAACAGTAACACTATCCCAGCTCAATTATTTGTTGGCTTTTCGAAAACATTGGTCATGTATCTATCAAACTTGTACAGACTTTTTTCAATTTTTTTTTTTATAATTCAGTCTTCATGTGCTGTATAACTCTTGGTAATTATGCCACATTCTTGTTCATTTGTGTCCATTCTTTTTTTATTATTATTTATTTTTATAGTTCATCTTTATCAATTCAAATTGATGGAACGCTGAATTATGATTAATTGATTAAAGTTTACACTCCTGTTAGGTGGGTGCTTTTTGGCTATACTCGCCCTGCTATATAGTTTGTAGGTTCTTTTTCAGGTCCGTATTATTTTGGATCGTTTTGCCTTCTCTGATTCTTTTGACATGGTTTTAGGTGCCTATTAACTGCAGACTCAGGATTTACATGTTTATAACATGAAGGAATAACTTGCTTACACTGGGGTGTACTCTCTATATCACTCATCATGACCCCTCTACTGATTAGCACCCCTAGGGACAGCGGGGGTCATGATGACTGCTATAGGGAGACAAGGGATGCGCACCCGGGACTATTAAGTTTCTTTCGTAAATTAGACAATCTTAGCCCGCCATCAGACTGTCAGGAATGACTTGCAGTAGCTTGTTGCAGTAGATAGAGCTTATAACCTGTAAATTTGAGAATCTACATTGTTGCAGTAGTTAGAAACAGAAACAAAAAGCCAATAAGTGACTTTCAGAGTAACCTCTTTTCATGATGTAATGTTTCTTTTTGCTCCGTGGGAGTAATGCAAGTTTGATATATGAGAGAGGATAAAAAAAATGTAAAATTTCTTCTCTTTTTCATTCGTTGGTTTTGGGAGGATAGAAATGGTGCAAACGATTTTTTTTTTCCCTGGAGTAAATTTAATAAGGGGAGGATTCATTTAGATCTGTCGTTCTTGTAAATATGCCCTTCAAATTTTCTCCGGTACACCTATCATCTCATTAAATCTTGTATTTCCAAATACACGACCAACAATTTATTCGAGCCATAAAAGGGAAGCTAATTCATCATACATTTAAGATTTAACTAATCATCAATTCAGATACAAAAACAAAATTATCCAGAAAATTCTTCCTAAACTAGAGCAACCAAGTACAACAAAAGATAAAGAAACAAAGAAAATTTACGTGAGAAGAGCAGGGGTAAATAATCAAGAAATTGACATAAGATGGAAGCTGTGAGAATTCTTTTGAATCCAAAACTATAAGCCAACCCCAGAAAAACTCAAGCACTGGAAGACATGACCATACAGTAAAAAGTTCATGAGAAATTCCATGAGCAGCCAGGTAGAAATCCTGATACTTTAGGGGCAGCAAATGAGAAGACGACATATTTGAGCTTTGACCTGTCGCCCTGGTGATTAGTCAGAACAGCAACCAGCTTTCTTAACAGCCGAAACATCATCCTTGTTTCCGACATTTATGGTTTGTCCCTTAGGTAGTGCTGCAGGATCATCCCCAACCTCAAGTGCTTTCCGGCTAACTACATGGTATATTTGTGTTAGGACCTCAGTGAATGCATTTTCAACGTTCATAGACTCGAGTGCTGATGTCTCCATAAAGAAGGTGTTTTCTCTCTCAGCAAAGGCCTTAGCATCCTCAACAGAAACAGCACGCAGGTGACGCAGGTCAGCCTTGTTACCCACGAGCATTATCACGATATTGGAGTCTGTATGATCCCGTAGCTCCTTTAACCATCTTTCAACATTCTCAAATGTAACATGCCGGGTGACGTCATAGACAAGCAAAGCACCAACAGCTCCTCGGTAGTATGCACTTGTAATTGCACGGTACCTTTGACAGGAAAAAAATGAGTAATTATTCAAACTTCAAAATTCAAACAATCATCATCACAACCAAGACCAACATGAAATAAACAAGATATTTTTATTCCTCTGCAACTAATTATCTCTCAGGCACAGCTAGTCTGCTACCAAATAGGTTCTGAAACACATAGTAAGATCGTATCTCCTTCATAGAAGGAAACCGAAAGATACTCAGTACCGATTTATTTAAATAAAAAAACTGTTCAGAACATAGAGGGACGACAGAATCTCTTGTTGGATCACACTTGGTGCGCATACAAGACAAATTAGGCGCACCCAATAACCTACTTACAGGGTTCAACAGTTGATCCTTCTGCTATGAACCAAGCAGAACTAAAGAGTAATATGTTCAAGCCGAATGCTTTGAGATTATAATATATATACCTCCAGAAAGAGAAATTGCTTCCAACTACTAAGCAAATGAAGCCAAACAGATGGTTGGCTTCCAATAACCAATGTATTGCCATAAGCCCATAATGCGCATTTTCTTAATATGGCAAGTTATATTACTCAAGCCAATAAGTAAAGCAGTGTTCTTACATCAATATCAGATTTTCCTCAGCACCCCAGCAATAAAAAAACCCAATTCCATCAATAGATCTCGATTCATTAAACGACCAGGAACTAAAAGCATTTCCTTCCGTTTCCCCACATTTTCTCAGCACCCAAACGGGCAAAACCAATTTACCCAAATCCTATACGAAACCCAATAAACAGAAAAATTGACTGAAATCATTGAAATGGGAAAAAGGGTGCAAGTTTATACCTTTCTTGGCCGGCGGTGTCCCAAATCTGGGCCTTGACGATCTTCTCATCAACGTGGATGCTCCGAGTGGCGAACTCGACGCCGATGGTAGACTTAGACTCGAGGCTGAACTCGTTGCGCGTGAACCTGGACAAAAGGTTGGATTTTCCAACACCAGAGTCGCCTATGAGCACCACCTTGAACAGGTAGTCGTAGTCGTCATCTGCTCTGTAGGCCATGCCTCCTCCCTCTCCGCTCCAAATTCGACTCGCGGGTTCGGTCTGATTTCCGGGTCGGATCCGAAATGGGTCGCCGATTTATATCAATTGGAAGAGCGACTCGGACTCGGAGACATGGAATGAAGGAGGATTTGTGTGGGAGCGTGTGAAAAAGGGAAAGACAGCGACTTTATGAGCTTCTTCTGTGGGTGGCGACGATAATGAGATATCAGATGATATTGTGCGAGAGAATTATCAGATTGTGCTATGTGGGCTCTCAGATTTTTTAGGCCCAGTCAATTATTTTTTTTACTGCCGGGCCTGCACAGTCAAAGTTATTTATTTATTTATATATGTATTTGTCAATATTCTTGTGAAAAAATAATAATAATAATCTCACTCGATTATGTTACGTTAATTAGGAGGAGCAGAGATGTTCTTTTGTCATACAGTCTAGGTTAATTGTGTTCAAAGTGTATATTTGGACAACTAATTAGGTTACGTGTTACCCAAATGTGTGATTCACATTCGTAAACTGATTAAAATACAACAAAAATTCACAATCTAACGACATATATAATTAAGCTTATAGTATGTGAGAGCTAGTGGGAAACATTTTTTCTGTTATCTATTTTAATACATAGTGCAATAAGGGTTGAGTCAGAGTTTTTTTTCTTCTTCAAAATAGCGCTTGTGTTTTTTTTACTATGAAGGGGAGTTTTGAAGAACTTTTATTAGTGGAGGGTCTGAAGGACAATTTGGTTTATTTCAATCGAGCACTGTAAAAGGTTTTTGGTTATCTAGAAATACTTTTAACATTGTAAAAAACACTGCTAAATACATCCTTAAAATAATCTCTCTCTCTCTCTCTCTCTCTCTCTCTCTCTCTCTCTCTCTCTCTCTCTCTCTCTCTCTCTCTCTCTCTCTCTCTCTCTCTCTCTCTCTCTCTCTCTCTCTCTCTCTCTCTCTCTCTCTCTCTCTCTCTCTCTCTCTCTCTCTCTCTCTCTCTCTCTCTCTCTCTCTCTCTCTCTCTCTCTCTCTCTCTCTCTCTCTCTCTCTCTCTCTCTCTCTCTCTCTCTCTCTCTCTCTCTCTCTCTCTCTCTCTCTCTCTCTCTCTCTCTCTCTCTCTCTCTCTCTCTCTCTCTCTCTCTCTCTCTCTCTCTCTCTCTCTCTCTCTCTCTCTCTCTCTCTCTCTCTCTCTCTCTCTCTCTCTCTCTCTCTCTCTCTCTCTCTCTCTCTCTCTCTCTCTCTCTCTCTCTCTCTCTCTCTCTCTCTCTCTCTCTCTCTCTCTCTCTCTCTCTCTCTCTCTCTCTCTCTCTCTCTCTCTCTCTCTCTCTCTCTCTCTCTCTCTCTCTCTCTCTCTCTCTCTCTCTCTCTCTCCATTTGTATAGATACTGTAGAGGAAGCCATTTGGAGCCTATGCAACAAGTCTTTCCTATATAATAAGGAGTCTAACTGTCAACTTAGCATCATAGACTTAGCTCCATTTGGACGATGTCTACTGATTGTGAGGAAGAACAAAGTGAGAAATATTGCACGCAAATTGTAATTTATAAAGCTTTTCTGGTAAAACTAGGAGATTCCATATGCACACATTTTCCCATGAATATAAAGCACAAAAAGAAATCTCATCCCGGTCCAACAGGAGATGTAATATTGCACATGCATTTTCAGCATCAACTCAGTTTTGATTGCTTGAAATGTAGGTAAACCAAGATGACCAATGCCTTCATAACTTGAATTAGATTTAGATGGATTGATGGAGCTTGTTGATGAGATGAAATAAAACCAACCACAAGTCCATCACCACAGTTAATGTTCATTTTAATGTCACATTAAGAACGTCTAGTCGCCATGAGCCCCTCCTTTAAGAATAGTGTAGTATGGCCAGTTGGTGAGGGCAGTGAGCCTGTGTCCCTTCCTGTGCCTCTTGCACCCAAGTTCAAATCCCCCTCTCATTAGATTAAATTAATTTAGAATAATTTAAACTATCGCTTCTATTTAAAAAAATTAAAAAGGAATAGTGTAGGATGAGTTTTAGGAATTCAAAGTCGTTTCAAAACCACCACTTTAATTAATTTTCCAAGCAAAAATGAAATAACAAACAATAAAAAAAGTGCATCCATGCATGTATGGCACATTAACACTGCACCAGATATTGATGTTTGGTCCATTAGGTCAGGAGGCTGCAGGACCATCATCTCCAAACTCAAGTGCTTTCTAGCTTGTGACCCAAGTCTGCCTTGTTACCCACAACTATCATCACCTCATTGGAGAGAATGAATGAGTATGAGATTCACTAGCTCCTATCCAATCTGATTCATATGATTTTTCAAGTATTGGATTACGAATTGTACATTCCCTATCATCACCGAGAAACAACGTACCCTCTATATTCATAGGAGTTGTCTCATCTCAACCACCCCTCTAGATTTACTATTTGTATGCACAAAATGTTTTCAAGAATATAAAGCAGGGAAAAAAATATATCGTCCTAGTCCTACAGAAGATATTTGCACATTATGTTTCGGAACCCAATTTTGATTGCTTGAAATGCAGGGAAACAAAGAAAAAATGGTTAACAATATGATCAAAATTTGTTTGGACAAACTCATCTAGTTCTTTGTTTAAAGTTTGAATAGATTCGAACCGAATTTTGAACGTGCGTCTGCAAAAACATGAGCAAGTCCCTCTCATTTTCTTTCCCTAAGCAGGCATAAGCATCCACAAAGTAATCACACTCTGGCCCATACATATGCACCGCACATGCTGCTTTGTAAGCTAAGAGCTGCAAATCACCTGTTTGAAAAAAAGTGTAAAAAGAAGATTTATATTTTCAGCTACTCTGGCTAAACCAATGCAATAGAAAAATATAAATAAAAACTCTGCCATTCAAATCTGAAGATATTCATCCTCTACGTATTCTCAATGGAATTTTAATAATTAGAATCCTTTGCACAAAGAAGTTAACATAATAATAAAAAAAGAATTCTTGCTAAAGGTTGTATTCTTCTAGATGAGATAATTGTACACACTCAATAAAACTAGAAGACTATTTAGATGGATGCAGCTCCTAGAGATAAAGGCAAGCACGAGTCCATCAGGGTCTGAATTATACATTAACCAAGTCCAGATTTTGCTTATGTATACTCTAATTTAACACTAAATCCTTAAATGGCACATTAACAAGATCCAATCCCCTTTAGCCACCACCCCAGTGAAGAGTAAGGGGGGAGGGTAAGGTTTTAGGTTTCAATCCACAACCTTCAAAATCACCCTTCTATTTAGGGGAAAAAAACTACTAACTCAAACAAGTTTAGAAATGAAATCATGGCACAAGTAGAGAAACTGGGACAACTTCTCGATTGAATTAAAAATAGATACCTGCTGCAATCTCTGAGGCCAGTATGTTATGGCTGAAATGACGTGTGCACCACCATCTGCAGCGAAGTCTCCAACTCTCCCCAGATTTCCCCTCTATAAACATTTTGGGGGTCTTGTTGAAACAAACGGAGTAGCGGTCTTTATGTCCTTTTTCATTTCCATTCAGACACACAGACATTCGGTCCTCTTCATACTGAGAAAGCTTTTGGAAACATAAAGCAAACTCTCTCCATGTGTTGTAGTCTGCATAGGTGGCATCTAAATGCAAAGCTATCATTTCCAGTAGGGACTCAGAACTATATTCTTCTGCAAAATATCAGAAGAGAGCAACAAGAAAGAATTTATAGCTTGAAAAATTAAAACTTGCAGTTTAAATTCTTGTTAGCTAAAAGGATTTCCAAACTATAACTGCTTTCACATCTATTTTATTTCTGAAAATCTAATATTTTCATTAATAGTTTCTCCTCAGAAATTATAGTTTGTGCAAGTTTCAAAATGAAATGAATCACGAAGTTAGAGAACAGTATCTTTAAAAATAAAAATAAAAACAAAACAAAAGGACTACAGTCAAAGGAAGGGGATGTGTAATGCCCAAGTTATTAAAATCATATAGCCCAAAAACCAAAGAGATGGAGAGACAAAGGATTCCCAGGATTTTAGGAAATAGAACCAAGTTTACCGCCCGTGACCAAAATACCAATTTTGCAATTCCGTCTGAGATTTTACAACCATGAAAACTTGGAAAGAAAAAAATCCTCATAAGTTCCGCATCAGAATGATTAGAAACCAAAACTTAATATGACAACCAAGGAAACATTTATTATATCAATAATGGAGAAGTTGGTACACTGGGAATTCTGGTCATACACATCATAATAGAAAACTTGGTTTCATTTCCTAGAATTTGGTCCTCAAAGGGATTTTAACAATTGAAACCACAATAAAAACTTATATATTTTCTACAAAAAAATAATAAAAAAACATTTCACAGGTAGAAAGCAGAAAATCAAAGGCTATAGGGTCATGACATTTCTTAACAGAGACTAGGGGTTTGTAAACGTAAACAAGGCATTGCTAAACAGGCTCTTTCAGAAGGTTTAGAAGATAGAAATTGGTCAATGCTCCATTAACTGAGATTAAAGAGAGCCAAAGAATTTATAAGATCACTCCTCATATCTTTAGTAATCACATGAACGAGAAATATCTATGGTAACCACGTGAAGACGAAATTCTCAGTATGTAGTGTTAACTATCTGTCTGTTTGCAAGAATGATGGATTTACTCTCATAGATTATGTATAGGATCAAATTGAGAAAAATCATGTACCACTTTGATGCAGGCAAACAAGCTTTGCCAATGAATCACAACAGGTCGGATCATTCTTTAAGATATCCTCAAAACAAGTAGAAAGCAGAGCGCTGTTGTAACGATCAAATTGCTCCAGAAGACTAGCCCTTAATCTGTCCAACACATATGCATTACAGCTTTATTACCGCTTGATAGGTAAGCATTAATTAACTAGAGTAGCAAAAGTTTCTATCTCACAAGCAGAACTACAAAAGTTAAGCAAGTATTCGGTTTATTGGAATGAACCTTGGAATAGGATGCACATATCACCCCACACACCACCACCCCCCCAAAAAAAAAAACAAAGCAGGAATGATCATCCTATAAAATTTCATTCCATTAAAAGCATGAAGAAACTATCATTTACCTTTTACCCCATACTTTCTTGGATCGATCTAGTAACATTCTCTTTCCTAAGCAGACTATCATTAATTTTCATTCACGTATTGTGTTTTCTAACTTCTCTATTGAATTCACTCTCACTAATTCAGACATAAGAACAAAACTGGCAAAGGAATCAGTACCGAATATGCAGAGTTGTGTTTGAGTTACAACAGTAGTCAAGCTCATTTAGGGCCTCTTTAACTTGACCTCCAATCAGCAACAGCTGCCACAAAAAGAAAAAGCCTAAGAAGAGAGTACTTGAGTTCTGGTGGGGTACCATAAGCTATAACTATGTCAGGTGGTGTAGTGGTCAATGCTCTTTTAATTCCTCTTGTTTTTTATATATTTTCTAAGAGAAGCCTCCTTCCTAGATAAATTCTAACAGGGTAACCATAAAGTTGGCAACTACATTTATACAATATCATACTAAGAGTAAGATAATGTTCTTTCTTCACTAAAACAAATGTTCACCTGTATCAAAGGATGCAAGGCCACCAATACCGGAGGTGTGGAGTGAAGAGCAAGCCGTAAGTACTTCACTGCAATGTTATAATAGTCACTAAACAAATACATGAAGTCCTTATGATTATCTGTAGAGTCTGGCAATCGTATGGGCAGTAACAGTGACTCCAAGCCCTCTGAAAAAATGGATGATAAATCCAGTATGATTATATATGTCCATAAAATAATAACGAAGGACTTAGGAAGCTAATAAAAACCTAGGAAAATACAGAGAGACTACAAACACTGGCATACACACACATTAGACTTAGGTTGGTTGCCCCTCAATGCATTCTGGTTATCTTTCTGTTGAAATTCCAGATTCTCAAAGAGAAGTTATTACAACCGGTATCCTATCCGTTAGTTGTAGTCAAGACTAGCACACTACAGATTGAATACAATTTATTGGACCATGCAAAAGTAAAACTTAAATTATCTGAAATGACATTATAACAGTTATTGGTTCCCCCCAATATGGCTAGTGCTGTTTTAAAAAACTCATCATCCTGCACATGGATGCGCTAGGGAACAAAGGGTGTCCTTCCTTACACAAAGAAAGAAATACAATAATTAAAAGCCTAACATATAAAAGAATATTACTTCAATGACAATATGCAGGAAATTCAGGACTCACCAAGGGCTGAGAAAATGGGAGCATACTGCATTTGGCCACCATCATTACATAAAGAAGCTTCATTTTCTGTATTTTCACCAGAGTCTGCATAGAAATTTTGGGTCTCAAAGTTCGGTTGAGAGTTTTCTATCTCCATCTCATCAACCGTCACAGAGAGTTCTCTATGTAAGCCACTGTCAGCATCATTAGATAATACTTTATCCTTCATGATAGATGTGTCTGAACCACATTGAAAGGCAGTACCAGCCTTGTGAGTGTCAACTGCATAATGCCCCTCTGAGTATGGAAGTAGTTCATCTGATTGCCTAGCGCTGTAAAACTGGTCAGACTCCTTCCACTGCATCTCTTTTGGGATAGTGGAATACCACAGTTGCTGGAATGTCAATCCCACAATCATCATTAACAGTGGGTCCTTTCCAAACCCTTTTAATTGCATGAGACTGGGAAAAAAGGCAAGCATAAATGATTTAGATGATGTCTTGCAAATGATATCTCCTTAAAGATGCCATATTTGCAGTCTAAATGAGATGGCTAAAAAGGAAAAGGTAATTTTGACATTAAAACAGAAGATTGCAACACATTTCCACTAACCAACAAGTGAATTCTGTCCTTCATTAGTTAAGGTCTATCCTCACCTCAGGCAAACAAAAATGGCAGAGAAATTCTACCCTATAGAAAATATCAAGGACATGCAAACTATCTGAAATACAGACACGTGAAATGCAAAGAGACAGAACATGGACACCGAGACAGAAAAATTCTAGAAATAGAACATGACATAGTGGGGACATGAAACAAATTATACATGTACACAGCCAGTGCTCCCTATTTATCCAACAGTTTCTACATTTATGATTCAAAAAAAAGAAAAGAAAAACTAGAGACGTGATTTATTATTAGTGGGCATTACCAAAGTAGCCACGGTTAGCTGATCAGGAATTCTTTCAAAAAGGAAAGAACTCAATAGATAAATTTCTAAAATTTGGACACCCACAGACACATTAGCCAAAGGAAAGAGGAGCAGCATAAGTCAAATGGATGGATGATATCCCAGATAAGATAACCCCAAGAGAATAAAAACACACTAGCAACAAACTAGATTTCTCCAAAGATGTTACACTTCGTGTATATGTCATGGACAAGCAAAACAGCAGCCAATAGGACAAGGCATTAAATAGCAAATCAGTTGCTACCACATCCAGAAAGCTACCAAGTAGAGCAAATATAAGCATCATACATACCCCAGGGCATCCTGATGGGCATCACGAAGATTCCCTTGTGTAAGCCACAACAAAATGCGCTCCACTTGAACCGCAAATGTGTACTGCTCAAAAGCAAAATAGGATATGGATAATCATATAAACATATACAGAAATTAAGTGTATAAGACAGGTAGAGCATAGTGAAAATAAACCATACCTCAAAGGACTTAACTGACCCAATCCCATTCCTGCTCTCCCAAACTTTATAAACATCCTTAATCCTGTATTCCTTGGAATATTCACTTCCCAAATGCTCAAGCATCTCCATCAAAACCTAAAACCCATTAGCGAAAACCAACAATAAAGATCACATTGTTAAAGGGTTATCCTCAAAACAATCAAATTGTTCAATTTCAATTCCAATTGAGACCCAGAAGGCTTAAACTCATTACCCAATACTTGAACCTGTTGTTCACTGGCGACCTGTCCTTGCGCCCACTTTTCAACAACACGCTCAGGACCCCGCTGGCTTCGACCCAGTTGTGCTGTTTTACGAGCTTGCGCAAGAGCTTGTTGAGCCTGGTTCGATGCTCGGCTCTCGGCCTCGTGGAGCCGACGCCGAGGAGGTAGGAGGGCTTGCTCAAAGACAAAACGATTCGTTTGAGAAGCTTTAGAATGTGTGGAGGTATTGCGGTATGAGCTTCTTCGTCATCGGTAAGCTTTCTTTTGCGGTTGTTTTGTTTGCTTGGTTTGATTGGACTGTCGTGTTCTGCTTCTGGTGAGTAAGGTTCGGCCATGGCAGCGCAGCTGCAGATTGAGAGAGCCAAACTCCCAAGTATTTTTCTGAGGACAGGGTTTTGGGTTTTTCAGGTTCGGAATATTGACTATTGGCGCTTAATTTTGCCTTGTTTAATTTTTACAGAGTTTAGTTTTTTTACAAACCAAGTTTGAATGAGTTTTAAAAAATTATATATAATTAAATAATTTATAACAAATATATTGGTACTCTTTCTTTTTTAACAGAAAATTACACAAACGCTTGGATTTGATTAAAGTTGTCATGAGTCCCACCTCCTCTAAATGTGACTTGTAAGACACAATATGTGACTATTGTTCAATTTAATAAATTCAATTACAGCGCACCAAACAATGATCATGATTCTTGTTTATTTTAATGAAAGTAGTATAATTCAGTTTCACCCGTGGTCAAAATAATAATTAAAAAATTAATACTGAAATTATTCATATTTAATATTCAAAAAATACTTTTTCAATATGAATTTCAATAAAAACCTAAACATGATCATTTAAGAGTAAGGGAGCTTTGTGATATGCATGGATAAAAGATCTATCGAGAATTTTCGATGTAATTTCTTTTCAAAACATAAAAAGAAAAAATAGCTGAGTAATATAAACTTTGAAAATAAGCAACAAAATGCTCTTAACTTTTTGGATAGAGTTGCTCCAAAATTATTACTAATTCCAAGTAAAAATCTTATAATGAAGTTGATTTCAACCACACAACCAAAATTTCGACAAGACAACCAAACTTCCAAGTTCAAAAAGGGAACAAATTCAACGAGCCCAATAATGCAAAACAAATCCAAGAAGAACCTAACCAACAATCTCTTAGTTGATTAATAATTTTATTTATTTATTTTTGGTTGGAAAATCAAAATAACCTAATTTGTTATTTCCTTTAATTTTTATTTGGTTTTTTAAGAGTTAGGGTCCCTGAACTTTGTAACCACTTGAGCTTTAGTCCCTCAGCTTTCAAAATAGCTTCCATAGTCCCTCAACTCCACTTTCATTTGTAACAAAAATCCTTGACATTCTGTTACTTTTCTCCCTCAAAATAAGGGCAAATTGGTCATTTTAAGTATTTAGGAATAATAAAAAAAACCAACAGCCCAGCCTCCACCAGCGAAAATAATAGAGAATGTGATCTTTAGGAAGATACAAAAATAATAGAGAAGGTCGGAGTTTTCTCTACGGTACAAGAGAAATCAGGTGGCCGGAGCCGAGTGTGTGGCTAGAGCTGTGTGAGCGAGAGAGTGGGCAACGAGAGAGAGATGAATTTTTGTAGGGTTTCAGAATTACCTCATGTATTTGGTGTAACAATGTATTTATAGTGTTCTTGCCTTTTAGGGTTTTTTAGAGATGGAAAGATTGGATCAATTAGAGATTTAATGAAGATCAAATCCCTAATTTGTGCTATTATTCATATCTTACGTCTAAACAATTGACCAATTAAATGGAGTATAATTATTGACATACGAAATATTCTTATCATTCACGTGGCGCCTCGTGATTGATTGTCTAAATATTTGCTCCCACAAGCATAATCACACAAAACTATATTCAAGCGTTATAAATTCATGACTGTCATCCATAATGAAGTAAATAAATAAGATTAATCGCAGACCCATGCTCTAAATATCTGTTCTGGAAATCTCCATTTTTAACACTTATGAAAACTCAAATCTATACACCATGTTGGCTATGGATCCATAATGAAGTAAATAAATAAGATTAATCGCAGACCCATGCTCTAAATATCTGTTCTGGAAATCTCCATTTTTAACACTTATGAAAACTCAAATCTATACACCATGTTGGCTATGGTATTTACACTAGACTATAGGCTACTTACTTACTAAACAGCTTTGACCAAACATGTGCATAGCTAGCATGCATTATGCATATGAAACTATGAATCTTGCCTCAGATAGGCTCGCCTAGAGATGATTAAATTAGAGCAAATTAAGAAGCCAAACTAATCGTCATAACAGAAAATAAAGAAGAATAGGATTCGAACCTCTTCGTCAACCAGCTCGGACTTGTTCAAAGAACCTAGTGACCGCAAACGGCTCGAGCTTGGGCTTGTCCATGGAGAAGAGCACGAGCGGATGGTCCATATTGGCGACGGGCGGGTTAAGAATCTCGACGCCACCATCTCCTTGAGCTTAACGGCGCCACCATGTCCTTCAGGTTGGAGGTTGAGTTTACTTTCTTTTCTTTTTTTAAATTGTTTAATTTTTGAATTTAAATTCATTTAAAAAACAAAAAAATGACTAGGCTCTTACTTAAAAGGACTAATTTGCCTCTGATTTTGACGGAAAAAAGTAACAGAAGTTAGTCAAGGACTTCTGTTACAAAGGGAAGTGGAGTTGAGGGACTGTGGAAGCCATTTTGAAAGGTCCTGAAGGACTAAGCTCAAGCGAGTACAAAGTTCAGGGACCATAGCTCCTAAAAATCCATTTTTATTTTGTCCTAACATTGGCAATGATCCATGAATGTAGCTCCCTCCAAAAAATCCTTTCCCACTTCTCTATACGACTCTCCAACTGATGATGAGCAGATGAGCATGTCGCGTCATCACCAGCTTTCTCCTCTTTCCCCAATCCAAAATTTTATCTTTTCTTATATAATTGCAAGAAATTTCAACGCCAGCTGAAAATCGAACTCCACAATGGATGATCATCAGCAACCGGTCATCAAAACCAACGGCCCAGAGTCATCCTCGCCCTCCTTCGCCGACCTCCAATACCAATCGGGCTTCCACAACCACTTCTCCTCGGAAGCTCTCCCCGGAGCTCTCCCCTACGGCCAGAGCAGCCCTCTCCTCTGCCCGTACGGCCTCTACGCCGAGCAAATCTCCGGCACCTCCTTCACTTCCCCTCGCAAGCTCAACCACCGGACATGGCTTTATCGCGTCAAGCCTTCAGTGACCCACGAGCCCTTCAAGCCGCTCGAGCCGAGCCACAGGAAGCTCGTCTCCGAGTTCACCGACTCGAACAGCTCCACCACGCCGACCCAGCTCCGGTGGAAGCCGGTTGATATACCCGAGACCCCCACAGACTTCGTTGAAGGGCTTTACACTGTGTGTGGTGCTGGGAGCTCGTTCCTCCGCCATGGTTTTGCTATTCACATGTAATTGGTACTCTTTGCTTTGCTACCCAAGTAGAGAACATGTGTATAAGCATGTAAAGGTGGAATTTTTTTAATTCATTTTTTGATCATTGATGGGAAGACTGAGGCTTTTTGTTTTTGTTTTGTTTGATTATGTGTAGGTACACTGCCAACAAATCAATGGATAATTGTGCATTTTGCAATGCTGATGGTGACTTCTTGATAGTTCCCCAAACTGGAAGTAAGTGATTGGTTAATGATAATTGTTAAAATGCAACTCATAATTTCTTTCACTATTGGGGTGCTTAGACTTTGATGTGGTTCTGTGCATTTTATTGTTCATGTCTTATTTTTTTTTTTTTCTGTTGGATTTGCTTTATTTTTTTCCTCTTTTGAACTTTAATATTTGTTAATTCTATTTGAAAACTGAATTAATGGTCTTAGTTAATGGTCATTTTTCTGAGACTAAATTTGGGCTGTGTAATGATAAAGACATTCTTTGTCATGCTCTATTCTGGTTGTGCAGGGCTATGGATCACTACCGAATGCGGAAAATTGCAAATTTCTCCTGGTGAAATTGCTGTATTACCTCAAGGATTTCGTTTTGCAGTTGATCTGCCAGATGGCCCTTCACGTGGCTATGTGGCTGAGGTTTTCGGCACCCATTTTCAACTCCCTGATCTTGGACCAATAGGTAGGTACACCCTATGTCTTCATCTCCTTTTGTTCCAGTTGTCAGCAGTAAATGTATGAAGTGTAGAATAACTGTTGATAGAACTCAAATCATGTGATCTTGGCTACTATATTGAGTGTTTTCATTACCTGTAGGCAGTGAGAGTGTAATTTTGAATACATGTAGGAGCTAATGGTCTTGCTGCTCCAAGGGATTTTCTTGTTCCCATAGCTTGGTTCGAAGATAGTTACTGTCCAGGCTACATTATTATACAGAAATTTGGTGGGGAGCTTTTTACTGCAAAGCAAGAATTCTCTCCCTTCAATGTAGTTGCTTGGCATGGCAATTACGCTCCATATAAGGTGGGTGATATTGTTACTGTTGCCTTTTTGCTCATATGTTTAGTGTTGTTGCTCCCTTTTCTTTCTGTTTTGTTAATGATCATCTTTTGACTCAGGGGACCTGATTTGTAAAAAATCGTTATTTGTTTGCAGTATGATCTGACTACATTCTGCCCTTTCAACACTGTTTTATTTGATCATGGTGATCCATCAATCAATACAGGTAATATATAATGTGGCACTTCCTTTTTGTTTTTAATTTTTCCCAAACATTTTCTTTGAAAGATAATAATTTTCATCGTTAATAAAATTCTGTTAGTTATCGTGACTGATCTTGTGCAATTATGATGCAGTTTTGACAGCACCAACTGATAAACCTGGTGTTGCATTGCTTGATTTTGTTATTTTCCCTCCGCGATGGTTGGTTGCCGAACATACATTCCGACCTCCATACTACCATCGTAATTGTATGAGCGAATTTATGGGCCTTATTTACGGAGGATATGAGGTAATACCATGAAAATGTTGACTACTAAGTATCTTAAATATAAAATTTGCTAATTTCACTGTAAGTGTCTGAAGGAGCTCTATTGAACTTCTGCTTTCGAACTGAATTAGGGTTTGAGGGTTATCTGTATGTTAGACTCAGCACAAAAAAGTTAATACGTATTATTGTTTTGCAGGCGAAAGCTGATGGGTTTCTTCCAGGCGGTGCAAGCCTTCATAGCTGCATGACTCCCCATGGTCCTGATACCAAAACATATGAGGTATGCCTTTTTTATGCAACACAATAATACATAAAAGATGCTATTTATTTTCCATGTTTCAATTTTGAGCACATAGCTTAGTCTGTTATACTTTTCTCACTCCATTGTTTGAATTATAAAGTGGAGATGTCAGTTCCACCATGGATGGTTCATAGTTATATTCTTTTGATTGATACACAGACAAAAATAACAATATATTTTGGTTGATCACATTTCATAACTG